ACGCGTTGAACTTAATTTATTTATTTATTTATTTATTTGTCTTAAGTACACTACAGAAATATGAATTCCAAATGGCACAGTCTTAAAGCTAAAACAACAATTAAAGTATAATTATATATACATAAAAAAAACCGAATATATAAATATCAAAACTCTTCAGAAATTTTAAAATACATTTAACGTCTAAAAAACAAAGTCTAACACCATACAAGACAAGAAAACAACCTAAAATTTTAAAATTCGAGCATCCTCTTAACAGATAATAACGTACAATTAAAAATATCACAGTGAGAATAGTGCTTATTATAGTTGCACAAAAGCCTATTCATGAAAGCTCTTTGTCCATAGTTTGTACGATGGGTTTTCTCAAAGAATAGTTGTGACTGTCGAGTATGCCTTAACGGAACAACAAAATTTACTTGGCATAACAATTTTTCACAAATAATGTCTCCATTAATTATTTTGTAGAGCAAAAGTAACATTGCATCCCTGCGTCTCCGTTCAAGAGTTTGCATACCACAGAGTAGCAGTCTCGTTTCATACGATAAATCCCGATATGGAAAGCGAAATTTAAATAGCAAATATTTACAAAATTTGTTTTGAACTCGTTCAATTCGGTTGACATACATAGCTTGTGACGGAGACCAAACAGTACTGCAATACTCTAAAATACTTCGGATCAAACCACTGTACAAACATGTTATTGCTTTAGTGTCTTGTATATGCTTTGTGCTTCTTTTTATAAATCCTAATAGCCTAAACGCCCTCAGAATGATAGTATCAACATGTAAAGAAAAGGATAATTCCCTGTCGAATATTACCCCTAAATCATTAAATGTGGAGACGCTCTCCAGCGTAGTATTATTAATAATGTATGAGTTTTCGACGGGGTTAGAACGTCTGTAAAATGATATAACTTTACATTTTGATATGTTTAGTTCTAAATAGTTAGAACTGCACCAAGAGACAAATTGATCTAAATCAGACTGTAGGGCGTTATAATTAGGTTCCACAATATTAAAAATTTTTAAATCGTCAGCATATAAGAGACAATGAGAATTTTTAAAACAGGACACTACATCATTAATAAATAACAAAAATAAAATAGGGCCAATATGTGAACCCTGGGGTACACCCGAAGACACTGTCACTTCCCGCGACACAGAACCATTCACTGTAACACGCTGCCGACGGTTAATAAGATAGGATTTAATCCACTTAAGGTAATTGCCTGTTATCCCAATTTCAGATAGTTTCTTTAAAAGTAACTGCTGACATACACTATCGAACGCCTTAGAGAGGTCGGTGTTAATTGTATCAACTCGGTAACCAGCTTCAACCGAAGAGGTAATAAACTCCTGATAAATAGCCAGATTAGTAGTAGTTGAACGGCCTCTGTAGAAGCCATGCTGCTCATCTATTATGTAATTCCTAAACGTATAAAATAATTCATCTGTTAAGGGTTTATTATTCTTGGTGTACAAAACCTTATGACGTCAAAAGAGAACGACTAATAACGGTCTACAATTATCAAGAGCTCTGTACATAAGCTATCAAACAAATGCTTGAGGGGCGAAGGGAGATTTGGAAATTGCTCCAGTTCATCAAGCTCCGTTAAAAAAAACGTACTGTAATGATTCTTTAATTTAAAAATAGTTTATTTATTAGAAACAGTTTATTTATAATATATTTATAACGTAAATTTAATACTTAGACACTATTATAACTCAATTCTAATTTATTTATTATAATTTATCTTTTCTATACAGCACTTAAATTGAAACTTAACTTTTATCGATCAATTTGCGCTATTTATATAGAATATTCTTGACCGTCTAGAAACTTCATATCGCGGGTATGGTAGTAAACAAAGAACATTGTCGGTTTTGAGCGACACTTCATTTAAAGTCAGAATCAGCTTTTTAGAAGTGCTCGAGAGTAACCCATGTTATTTACTAAAAAACTCTCAAACCCGTCAATTTTTTATTTTAGAATTTTAGGGAGAAACATTTTTTTGCCAGCTTTACTTCCTAAACGAAAACTTTCTATCGGAGGGTGAGACTCATCCCTAAAATCAAATGGAAAGAGGGGACGAATGATATCTTATGTTGAAGGTATTTTTACCTAGAATATAACTCCTGAGTTTGACATCGCTACTATATACGTAGCCCATACAGTGGCTCACCAAAAGTACAAAAGTGGTTTAACATTGTTATTAAAAAAAAAAAGGAATTCTTTGTAACAATTCTATTTTTATTCATGTGGCCTTTAATTATTGTTATCAAATGACATTCTTTGGTCGGCGTAAAGTAGTAAGGTTTAGTTTATTTCGTTGTAGAGTTGGCATAAAAGTATCATATCAGTGATAAGGGTTTACTGAAAATGTGCAAATAATTAGAATATGCTAATAGAACGGCCTAACTGTTTAACAATCAACATCTAAATCGACAAGGCCATCGAAAGTATATTTTGCAGTTATTTTGGGAAACAGGGTAAGAGGTGACGATTTTAGGGCATGTTGTTCAAGAACCTACACTGAATACAAGGTAGTTGGCGATAATATCTGGTATTGAGAGAAGTAGCATACAGAAGATATTGAAAAAACACAAGTTTTATCCCTACAAAATACATCTAGTACAAGAACTTAACGAAGACGATTTTGATAGGCGATTACAATTTTGTCAAATTATGACTGAATGGACAATAAATGATCAGCAATTTCTCTGCAAGGTGTGTTTTTCTAACGAATACACTTTTTTCCTAAATGGTACGGTTAATCGTCACAACTGTCGTTATTGGTCCATTTCAAATCCCAGAATGTTTCATGAAGTACATACGCAATATCCGGAAAAACTGTATGTTTGGGCTGGTATTATTGGTAACCGTATAATTCGCCCCTTTTTTTTACCTGTAACTTTAACCACAGAAATGTATCTGGGATTATTAGCAAACGCTATTTATCCAGCATTACTACAGTTGATTGAGAATGACGATCAGTATATAGCAAACGACTTAATAATAATTCTTCGTCAGTATTTGGATAAAATGTTTCCAGATCAATGGATCATAAGAAGAGGAAGTATTAAGTAGCCCCATGGTCTCTGGATTTAACCCCGTTAGATTTTTTTTATGAGGACACTTAAAAATTAAAGTTTATGTCACCCAGCCAACATCACTGGAAAATCTGTGACGACGGATAATTGATGAATGTTATTAAATCACCCCACAAATGCTTCGAAATGTCCGAGGGCGTTTTAAACAAAACCTCTATTATTGCATGGAGACCCAGGGTCAGCATTTACTAAAGTATCTGGTAAGCATTTAAAGAAAATTAAAATCGTTTATAGATCATGGCTAGGAAGACAGTAGCGATTTAAAACTCGAGGGTTGTAATCTAGGTGAAAATACCTTCAAAATAATATATCATTTGACCCCTCTTTCCATTGAAGATTTTCGGGGTATATTTCACTTCTACTAGGGGTGTCTGTTCAGGAAGTGAAACTGGCAAAAAAAGTTTCTTCCTAAAATCAAAAATTGACGGGTCCGAGAGTTTTTTTCGTAAATGACCTGAGGTGTACAAAATTGACTCTTTCGTTTTCAAATAGCCATCCTGTATATATACAATACTCCATTATATGTGTATTAATAAATTATCAAAAGTCTTCTTCTAAATTCGTGATAGGAAATAATTGTTTTATATTGTATTTCTAATTATTTCATTAGTACTCTACCACCGCAACACCACTGAATACCAGTGGTGGCTGCACTGAGCATGTAGGATTACCAGGTGCCAGATATCCCAATTTAGATGGACGCCTTCAGCCTACCAATTGTTGATTCTCCCATCTGCCGCTTCAATCCTCAAAACTCCAGCAATTCCACATTTGACAATACCTTCTTCTTTTTTCAAGAAAATTTTCATACAATCAACGCTTTAAAGTGAGCCCCCATTTCCCGCACGCCGGACACCCAAAAAAAATTTTGAGTTCCGGCCCCTATGCTCCTGGATTAGAAATATTTAAAAATATTTAATTAAGATTTGATAAATTTGTCATCTTTTTAAATAGGTTAATTATTATTATTATGGGCGTCATTTTGAGCGGTAAGAGGGGGCATTTGCCCCCTCCCTGGAATATGTCTCAGAACATTTTAAAAAACAAGATTTATTTAATTTTTTTCCTTAAATTTTTACGTAATTTTATTTTCTTTAAATTAATTATTGATGTTTATTTTTATTGTTTATTTATTGTATTGTCTGGTGGTGCTGTTTGGTTTATATTTAAATTTTTAAATGTAGATATTTCGTAATAATGTTTTTTTTGCTAGAGAGAATACAACATTTTACAGTCTTTATTTTAGTATTTAATATTATCCTTCTTTTAACAAGACCGTTCCGATTTGTTTTAAGTTTATTATAGGTACCTATTCTTTCAAAGAAAAGTTTAAGAGGTTCCTATGTTCTATGTCCCTATTTCTCTATATCCAATTTTTTTTACAACGCCAAAATTTTGCTCTCCCCCCCTACAAATTCTCGTAACGCCGTCCATGATGATTATATATTATTGAACCATCCTGTATAGGTTATAACTTATATCGTTATAAATCATTTTTTACTAGCCTTCCAATGGTACATGACAAGTAGGGGGTCACTAATTATTTTTGTTTTGTTGAGGTAGATGGCGCTTAAAGGGTTTATATAGGGGTGAGTTCTGTATTCCGTCATTTAAGTCTCCTTCGTTTTCTAAAAACTGTTATAAGCCTTTTCTGACATCACCTTTAGTTCATAAGCATCTTTTGTGGGATTTATATAGTACGATAGATAGGTACGTTGTTAAAGAGCAATAATTTATTAGTACACTTATTTTATTTTAAAAATATCAAAAATATTGTTTTGACAATACAAATCAAACAGTGCACCGCTAGGGTAAGTATAATAGGTGGTTTTAATATAATTTGTATTGACCATTCTTAATAGGCGTTTAAAAAAATGCTCAACTTACTTTTATTCTATTTCAATCCATCTACACGTTCGAGATATCGCTTCCAAATACACAACTTTCTTAATACGACATTATTATTTACATGTTCACTTTCTTATTCTCTCAGAGACAAACAACCAACCACTTATGACATGTCCCACTTAAAGTGCCCACAATTACAAAATAAAAATTCAACACAATCCGCCCGAAATTCCAATAAAATATTACCTATTTTTTTGACGCACTACAACTAATTTAAATAGAGCGAAAAAGGAACGCACGTTTTTAAAATTATGTCAGCAACGACCTCCGTTCAAGATCAACATACCCAGAACATGAAACGTTTATTGAGAATCGCCGTACGTGCCTTCAATCGCGTTAGAATAGGACCTTGTAGCACACCCGCGACAAAGATGACTCGCATTCGTCGAACAAAATGCACGAGTGCATGACACATCCAAAGAATAAAGAGTAGCGGTAGGCCATGTCGTAGCAATCGAGCAGGTGAAATTACCGATGCAGGAATATCATAGGAGGCGATGGTAAACCGAGTCGGCGAAAGTCGGAATTTCGGTGCTCCGGTAAAATTTCTTCGAGCAGAATTCACAATTCGCTATGCAGTCGTTCGATCAAATTTGAATCGAGAGACGCCTGACGGGTTACGTTGCACTAGTTTGGTCAGTAGGTGTGAAATTAATTAGGCTACTGTGCGCTTACCAAACTATATTAATAACACATTCATCTTAGAACACGCAAAACAGATTGTTTATGTTTTGTAATTTTAAGTTATGATATATTATTTTTGATATCCTGTGCGTGTGACATATACACACTGGCTACAAATCTTGCAAACATATGAAACATTCATTCAATTAATTACCTATTAACCTTTTTGCCATCCTCCTGCATGCTGCTCTATACAGTGCTGGCAAGATCAAACCTTCGGTTCTGCTTTGTTTTGAAAGAGCAAATAATATCGTTCGCTCTTGCAGGAAAAGAAACGATACTGCTGTGGCTGACTGCCGTCTTGAAGCTCAATTGTTTAGGATCCAGACGACAGTGGAATTTTAAAGAAATTTATTTTTTTATTAAGAGGAGCGTATTTTAATTAGTACACTTAAAAAGAAAAATTTGCAGTAAATACATTATTTAAGCCAAAAAAATTTATTGAATTCCTATAAAAATAAGCATTTTGTGACTGTAAACATCGAAATTCGATGGTTTCTGTCAAATTTGAAAAATATAATTGCAACGTTGCCGGATTGTGATAAAATTAGTAGTTAACAGAAAATGGAAAATTGCGATTGCGCATACCGGTCCATAAATATGCAACAAGAAAACGAAGCAACGACTTCTCGTAGGGTGACGCCGACCGGCATAGACTCCAACGGCCTGGACACAGCTCAAATTGAATTAAAAACGTAAACTTTTTTACATAATTTCTTGCAATTGCGCATATCGGTCCATAAATGTGCAACAAGAAAACGAAGCAACGATTTCACGTAGGGTGGCGGCCTTGGAAATTCGGCTTTAGAATGCTCAAACAAACCCGTCTGTCCAACATCCACCCCATCTTGAGCTGACATCAGAGCTCAAAATATCCATCAAAATCTTCTCGACATTACTGATGAACCTCTTACCTAATAGTCGAGAAATTCTGAACAAGGTATTGGGATCACTAATCCCGGCCATCTTCGCCCATTCATGCACCATCAGTGGTCATGGAAATTTAGCCATTTTTCCATACTCTCCAATTAACCCCGACCTTTAATGGTTTGTCTAATCGAAACAATAAACTGCAATGGCCTCGTTCGGAAGAGGCCTTTGATTAAAAACCTTTTAAACACCGAAAACCTACAAATATTATCCTTAACAGACACAGTCTAAACTTCCATCCAGCTTCACTGGGTTTCAAACAGTTCACAAAAATAAATGCTAAAACTTCTTTTGGAATGCTCTTTTAATTAAAAATGCAATTCCTTTTAACTTATACATATTTCCTACTCATCTAGCAGAATTAGATATAATAGCATAATAGACCTCCCGGTAGACAATACAACCGCCCAGGCCAAATAATCTCAACTTCTCTGATATAATACCTATCATCACTCCCCCGCGCTGTTTTGCTTGGAGACCTGAACTCCAGACATACCATGTACCTCAAACCCAAACAGTATCCGCCTAGCTAATCTGCTCATAGACTTCCCCATATTCAGAACCTCAAACCGACTTCCGACCTATGTATCCCATCAAAGATCTATTATTGACCACATCCTCTTGACAGATTCATGTACAGGACTGGTTGCTGATAGATACTTCATTGGAGAGACAATCACCTCCGATCATCTTCCTTTGATGTTGCATACATCTCTCCTTGCACCCACTTCACCAAAAGCTACGATATACACCTTCCGAGATCTTAAAAAAGCAGATTGACCACTATTTCAGAGAACCATATATGCAAACATTCCTGAGCAACGCTCAACTCCCCGCAAGATATCGACACAATGATAGACGAAGTCCAAACCGCTATATCCCACGCCGTCGGAACATCCGCCCCAATCACCTCCATAAACACAGAACAAAAAGATCTCCTCCTCCCACTCTCACCTCAAAATCAACAGACAAAACTACTCAACCCCCGACGAAAAAGCCCCAGCCCACAAAACCCACCTTCAGAACCACCGACAACTCCCACTTTGACGAATAATTCAAACACCAGACTAAACAATACGTTCTTCAGACACTGGCCGCCGCAGTCCCACCTTTGGATGTCGAAAACTACCTCACCTCCCCATTCAGCCTCCAAGATATCCAATATGCTTGCCAAGCAGGCAAAAACACGGCCTCTGGGCCTGATTTCATTCTCAGAAGAACGCTGAAACATCTTCTTGAAACCATCTTTCCCATCCTCACCCTTCTCCTTAACTCCTGTATCTCCCTCTCCTATTTTCCACTTGCCTAGGAATCCGTTAACACCATTTTGAACCCCTAATCAGGCAAAGACCCCCAATCCATAAATTCATACAGACCCATCTTTCTCATATCAGTTCTAGGGAAACTCCTCGAACTTCTGCTCAAGGAAAGGATCTAGGAATTTTGTGAAGAAAGAAATATCATTCCCCAACATGGTTTCAGACCTCACCACTTCACTCAGGACGCAATCTTCTTCCTTCACACTACTGCGGTCACAGCCGTAAATTCTCAACAAATGTCATCAGCCGTTCTCTTAGATGTCAAAAAGCTTATGAACATAGGTCTCCAGGGCTCCATCCTAGCCTGTCTCCTTTAACTCATCTACGCACACGACATTCGGGGGGAATGGTTTGGGGGCCCCAAACCACCCTACGTCCAAATGCATCCTATACGCCGACGACACAGCTGTAATCTCGGTAGCCAAACATTCAAACTAACTAAATACTCGAACCCAAAATCTGTTAAACCAGTACTCTCACTGGTGTAGCAAATGGAGGGTCTCATTAAATCCACAGAACACACAATTTATCGTCTTTAAATACACAAATTCTCAAAGAACCTTCCAGAACCCCCAACTCGTAAATGTAAATTTTCTGGGAGTCAGGCTCGCTCAACAGACTAAAGTTGACTATTTGGGGGTACGATTTTCTCGTACACTTAACTGGTCCTCTGGTGTCCAACGCTCTTTGGATAAGATGCGAAAACGAGCCAGTCTCCTTGGGGCATTATGCGAACGACTGGGGCGTTGTAACATAAACACCCTAATTCACACTTACAATTCCTTTATCCGTCCTATTGCTAAATATAGAGCTGTACTCTGCGGCGTACTTTCCACACACTTATCCCACAAATTTACCACACTCGAGAGACGTTGCCAATATCTCCCCTATCGTTCCCCTAGCGGAGAAATATTCGAAAATATTTCCAACACCCCCATCCTCATACGTTTTCAAACCCCAGGAAACAATACGTCTCTCGCACACTGAAAGGCACCAATACACACTAACAAGACACACTACAAATCCCATGGCGCCCAGACTGACTCCCACTTTTTCGAAAACCGAAAAGAAAAATGCCGCAACCAAATCTGAGACTGCTCTCGGACTTCCAAGACCTCCCCCTCACCGTTGAACTCCAGGATCTGCTAGAATCAGCCCCCCTAAACATTAAATAAACCCTTCCCAATCATATAAGTAGAAATTCATACTATTGTACAATATCGTGATTTAGGTTTTTGTGGTTTCCCTAAATCATATTTCCCACCTTATATTTGGTCTTGTCCACTTTCGAGGTTGGAAATAGCAAAATTGGCGAGATTTTTGGGGAACACAACCTGCCACACAGGTCCCACACGCGCTCAAGACAATCTTAGGAAATAGGTTACTTATTGTAATCAGGGCAAACCACCCTGAAAAGGAGGAAAACTCCTATAACAGGGTATAAAGAAATAAAATGTCCTAGAAAAATGTTAAAACTTATGAAAAAGTCAATATTAAACTAAAAAAAAATAATTTTAAGAACACACAGCTTCAAAACAGGTCTTCTGTACACGCCGGTGTTTATTTGGACGTCTGCTACAAATATTCTTCCGTCTTTGCCGGGGTATACTGCAATTACCTTGCCCTTTAACCAAAGGTTTCTATTTTGTAATTTTTTCCAAATCCACGGAAAGACGAACTCTTAACATGGAGCTTTTAGAACACGTTTTCCCACTTTTAGGCCCACTAAAATAGTTTTAATATAAATTTTTGTCATCTACACAAGAACTGATAAAGTAGTCTTGGATGGGTAACTACTAAGACATGGAGCATGGAATAGCGTTCAATCATCTAAGACGTGTGGCGTGAATGGGGCACGATAATAGGATCATAAAATGGTAACTCAATAAATGTTGAAAGCTGTAGTACTAGTATGCGTGTACCCTAGGAGTCTTGGAAACCAACCAGGATAATATCGGAGGTCTAAAAGGTAAAAAAAACAATAACCAAAGAAATAAAACCACTAATTCATGTATTAAGTTTATTTAATCTAACCTAATAAACACAATTCGATTATATTTTTTATATAAAAATGCAACTAGAAGATAAATACAAAAAGCAAAATAATAAAATTATAACTAAATATATCACTGTATATTTGGTTTATTACGTATGTCAACATAAAATACCAGGAACATAACAAGATTTTTTTATGTCATTTATACTCAAAAAATTATGGAATACTTCGCTCTCTTTCATAAAGATAAATCAAATTCGTTCAAATAAGAACTATACAACACAAATATTGGCGTTTTATCAGGTTTTTAACAATAATATAAGATACATTACTGTAGAATTGACTCAGTGTTTGGTAAATGAAGTAAAAGCGATCTAATTTGATTATTACTTTTTAGAAAAAAATTACATTTCATTTATGAAATATATCCATTAAAATCAAATAATTGAAAATGAAAGAAGGACATTTTTGATTTTTATCTTAAATTATTGCGACAATTTACTTTACTTTATTAAAACACCTTGTATATAATTATTTAGTAGGTGTTTCAGTCGATTTACTAGGCTGATCTTTAAGGATGCCCTCCAGATCAGAAACGGCCGCTGATACTTGAAACAGTCTTCCAAAAACGTCCGCCAGATCTGGCTCCTGATTGAATATCACAAAATACTCTGAAACAACAATATAAAATCATGTAATGTTCGATGACAAATGGCGGTAATAGACGCCAGTGCATCAAAACGCTGAAAACCACTATTCCTCAGATAAACAAAAAATAAATAAATAACTAACAGTCTGGATCTGTTTGAAGGTAATATGAACCGTTTTTTCTATTACTTTCTGTTTCTCCTTGGTTTCTGATGTAATTTGTCTATTTTAAATAGCAGCGCCAAAATTTTCTTACAACTGTCAACAAGTCAAATTCAAACTGCCAGTGAAGAAGCGAGATGCACTGAAGGAGAACAGCAGGGGATGAATAATGTGCTCTAACTAGTTCCCTAACCCAGGTAACCGTTTGTATTTAAAAATTTTGTAAAATGTACTTTTGGCCGCGTAGATAATTCAAATACCCCTGTGTGCAGCGTCATCTAGCGGCGAAAATTGTACTATTGTACGCGTATACTTGCTAGGTTATAAACTTGAAAAAAGTTACTTTGAAAAGTTGCAAAATTTAGTAAGAGACAGATTTTCTTAATAAATATTTGCATGTAACAATTAATTAATTATAAAATTTTGTAAGTAGTAGCCATTTCATTTCTTCCACTTACCAGGTTTGTCATGCACCAGCTTCTTGCAATAAATATTTAATATAGATAAAACGTCATTATCCCTATCACATAAATCATCGAATTCTTTGATGAATTCGTTCTTGTTGCACTTGAAGTACAAAATGACAGACGTCCATTTTTCATTTTCTATAAGTCTGCACAAGTTGAACAACAAATTTTCGGAACTAACGCTGCCGGCTATAGTCGAAGAGATTCCACCGTCGGCGTCCGTGTCTTCGTAGGCTCTTGTAAGGGCGTTTCGGATCAACATTATATCCCCAGTTACATCCTTAAACTATAAAAAAAAAATTCAATTTGAAAACAATTCTAACTACCAAATAGGAAGAAAAAACTTACTTCCGCACTCTTGAGGCTACCGTGTAAAGTTGATACCATTTTATTTCCAGCTTCTATCAAAAGCAGCAATTGAAAATAGAGTTTGTAAAGAGCTTTTCCAAGATCTAGTAAATATTGTTCGTGATGAAAATCGCCACTTTGTTGACCGCTCAATCGCTCCAATTTCAACGTTGTTTTAACAGCATCACAATACTAAAAAAATATTATTATTATTATTATTATTATTATTCATATAACTAAGTAAAAAAGTAAGATTTTTATTGCGTATATTAATAGTTATTTATGCAACAAGTACAAAAAGTAAGTGTTTATTGAACGCGACGTGAAATTGTCGAGAAACACGTTGAGTGCAATAATCACTTTTTGCACGAGTTGTATACAATATTTTTTCTACGTTCATGCAAAAACCAAAAAATGTTTTATTTAGGCGACATTAAGTACAGAAGAATAAAAAGCGTAATTTAATAGCAAAATATTTAATAACTAATAATTAACATTGAAAAAGTACTATAACTATGTTAAGAAAAATAATTTAACCAAAACTTTAGGAACAAAACAATAATTAAGCTTAAACTAATACTAAAATTAAATGTACAATTTTCAATATATTTTTTTTTTTAATTTGGTATCATCGGCGTCGACTACTAAGGCCATTAGCCACGTGTTCTGTGTAGGCTTTGTTACTGTTTCCCAGCGCCACTTTAGGAACAGCACCATTAATTAGAACCTAACAGTGAATGGTCGAGTGGGGAATCCTACCTATGCATTAGGATTAATCTCTAATTTTTTTTTTTAATTAAATAAAAATCCTCGAAATTTTTTTTTTATTAATTTATTTATTAAATGATTGAAAATAATATAAAATATGCAATTGTTTTTAAAACGTAATACAATCTCACAGAAAATGAAAATGGACTAAATATTTGGCGTCGATTTGAATATTTATGTTTGTCATGATCATAAGATGACAGATGAGTGCAATAAAATTTTTATTGCACTAGTGCAATAAAGAACCAATTTTTTCACTAAATATAGTTCAATAAAGTTTTGTTTTTTGCAAGAACGTAGAAAAACATATATTTTGTCTTTAAATTAAAAGTGTTTCAGGCGACTTTTTAATACAGGATTCCTACAATTTCATGAGAACAGTATTGCTATTTCTTAAATGTTAACAAATAGAAACTTAGTTTAATTAGACAAAAGTTATGCAGTTTTGTGCTCATTAATATGGTACAAGAAACCGTTGATATCTATAAAGAATACAAAACTGCGCAACTTTTGTCTAATTTAACCAACTTTCTATCTATTACCGTTTAAGAAATAACAATACTATCCCTATGTAGGAACTTCGCATAGTACTGTTGCTGAGTTCGGGCAGCTCACGTAGAATGACTCTATTAGTCTCAATCGCGTTCAAAATACCCGCGTAAACTCTTATTGCCAGTGACAACTACGAGACGGTTAAGCGAGTAATTTTTAAAGCCTTTTGGGCGTTTTAGAGTAACACTATGTACATAACAACGGGAATGCTTTCAATTATCTTTTTTTAAACAAAACTAGTAGTTGTTAGTTGTTGGTACCTGCGTATTTGTATAATTTTAAAAAGTTTACAACGGATAAAATTAATGAATTATTGAAATATTATGTTTATCGTAAATAAATCACGAGAGTAGCATAATTATCAAAACAGATAAGCCAATTTTTATTCCAATAAGGCCAGGTTGTACAATATTAGTTAAAATGTAATCTTAGTTTAAACTATGAACCTCGTTGGATAATCATCGGTTATTGTTAAACATAGTTTTAAAAATTTGTACGTTGAATATAACCAGTTAAAAATTAAACTCCTGTTAGTTAAACTCAATGACATATAATATAATTTATAAATTGCAGTCGTCCATATTGTCTTGCCGAGTGCTCACCAGGTAGAATAGGTCTGGCCCAAAAGAGTTTAAAACCATAGAAATAATATAGAAGACCAATATAAACATAACATTTAAGCAGAAATTGAAACCTACTATGCATAAAAACGCGTCTCTGCGCCTGACATCGCAAAATAGTGTGTCTAGAAGCTTGCGCAATAAGCATGACTTGTCCCTGTAGTGTTGCCAAATATATTAAACATACCTAACAGAAAAGAATTTTAAATTAATTAATTTTTAAATTATATGATTTAAACAGTTTATATCTACGAAATATCGCCACAAAATAACTTATAAACATTTAAATAATCAACTAATAATATTTATGTGTAATTACATTCCCAAAAATATATACAAATACCGTATTAATGTCATTAATACCGTATTTTTAATGTTCAATAAGCGATTCACCTACAAATTCAATATTGACCTGGCAATAGCACTAAAATCCGGTGTTTCAAGGCTATATGACGTTGCCCATACAGGACCGTTTGTAGTTTATTATTTATGCCGCGTTTGAGAATCCACATCGGATGCATCTGAGATGTAGTAAGTAGTAAATCTTTGATCACGTGATTCAGTATACGTAAATGTAATGGGACAGATGTGTCCGATGTGGATAAAAAACGCTCGAGATGTAAAAAATGCATCCGATGTGGATTCTCAAACGCGGCATTAATTACACGATGAAAGTGGCATTTTATTTTTAGTTTTGTGTAGTGTTTAGTCAAATCCTAGGTACAATAAAAGACATTTTTACATTGGCTAATGAAAATGTAATCAATGTATTAGGCAGCTGTTATATTTATTACAAGATTTATGTCTGCAAATCTAAACCTACCTAAGAATTATAATTATGTAAATAGAGATCTGTATATTTATATACAGGCTGCCCAGCGACGGGGAGACTTATCGATATCGGTTTTAAGGCATTTTAAAACATAAACCCGATCTCAACAATCTTAGGAACTCTTGTCACTCGATATTTTAATCGGTACTTCCTCTTCGTTTTTTGGCTGGCACAACAATTATTTACATTTCTTCATTCCTTACGGCGTTCGAACCAGTAAGGTTTAAAGAAATTTAAAAAAAAACCTACTTTAAAAATAAAGATGTTAATGATTTTCTTATGGATCCCATCTTCAGATCTTGACTTAATGTATATAAAACTGTTTCCTTTTCTAACAAAAAGAATCCTAGAAATCGGGCAACGTGGTAAAGAATTATCGCTCAACATACATAAAAAAATATTTCAACGAATTGAGAATATCCTACCATTTTGAAGTATGTTAAAAAAAATTATTAATAAAGTGAAAAGTAGGGCATGAACATATATTATAAAGTATATAAAATGATAGATAAATCCAGTTTAGAAGGTATTATAAATAAACTGTGGAAATATCGAGAATCTCGATTTTGAATCGGAAAAATATTCTACGCAATTTAGTATGAAAGCTGATCAAAATGAAACACATGAACGACAAACTGTTATTGACAACTTTCTTCAAACGTTTTCTATTTTTCCGAAAACTAACTAGATAGTTCGAAAATCATTTCCTTCGTTAAAACGCCTCTTGTTCCGAAAAAGGTACACGCCTGTCAACATTCATCGTTCATTAAAAAAGTGGTAGATACAAAACGCTTCGTATTGTAAGGCCAAAATATATTTAGAAATCGAAATATTCATATAAACAAAAAAATCATATGAGTGAGATAACTACCAAATTAATGATTTACAAGTTTATTTCTATTATTTATAAAATAGGTTTGCAATGTGCTGGTGTGGAATGACTAAAAACTTTAAATCTTTGTATTGAATTGATCGAAAACAAACTATAAATTGGTTTAGGCTATATAGAATGTTTCTAGTAAGCAGCAACTAATTTTTATTATGGAACCGAAAGACCCTTTTAAAAGGGTTCAAAATTAAAATAAAATATGTACCAAGTAAATGTAGTATTTTTTAATTTTTTAATTTATATTGAAAATGGTAACATGAAAGGTTTTCTGTCTAACGACTCATAGTCTCGGCTGACAAAATGTAAAAAAATATCGAACATAATATTCCTGGGCCCTATTTTGCACTCCCCAGATTAAATTTAGTTGTAGCAAATGATATTATCAAATAAGATGTCAAATCACAAGTAAAATCTCGTGACTACAGTACTAATGATTGCCTGTTTGGAAAAGTATCTTTGTTTGTAAATAGTTATATTTAAATGCGCGAGTGTAATGTTAAGTATAAACAAAATCCGCCCATTATGTATATACGTTTAGTTACCGACCCTAGTAGATAGGCAATTTGTTATTGTTTTAAGTTTTACCGTAGGGAGAGAGAAAATCAATATTAGGATACATGGTCCAGCTCCTTTCTGGTTACGTAGGTACCTAAAAAGTATTTTAGTTTTTGGTTAAGTAATTAATTATTGTAACAGTGATTTTCTTGTGATAGTACCTAATTTAGATTGTGGATTAAAGTTTTTGTATATAATTTCGCTGTTTAATAATAAACGTAGTCAAAACCGGAGCACGTGGTTTTTCTGGAAAGTATTTTTAAAATCACAAGCAAAATCTCATGACTACTGTACTAATGATTGCCGAAAATTAACTAATTCATATTTTATGCCATATCTTTCTTAATAAGGACTGTCAGAACCATATTTACCTTAACTTGAAATTTTTTTAATCGTTTTTTGTATAGAATCATCTCTAAAAATGTATGATTGAAATATCGTGCGAACTATTTGTTCGATCAATAAAAAACTTGCACCGGTCCTGTTCGCGCCAGCACCGTTATACGCATGAGCTCCGACACACTATTTTCTCCTTATGGTTTCATTTTTGATATATGGAATCGGCTTTCTATACTATTTCTATGTTTAAAACCCATATTTCATCAAAGTAGGAATAGAATTAAAAAAATAATAACCTGAATGTTTACTTCAAGACAGGAGCTTGCATTAGGTGTTTTGAACAAGATTAGACTAAACTTCAGATGTGATTAGTTTGGAGAAAAATAAGTTCATTCAAGCCAAGTTACCTTAGTAAAATTTTGCTTGCTTAAAAAGTTACAAGGTGGAGAAAATTTTAATATTTTTACGATAATTCAAATTAGTCGAAGCAATGAAGCACTAAAAAGGCCAAAGTTACTAGGTTTTTCCTTGCAAGTCGGATCAGAATGCGGTTTTTTGCATTCGCTTGCAAAAATTATTTGTATCATTCCCCCGTAATTTCCGGGTCATACAAACCGGAAATTGCATTGCTGCAGCCAAAAATGCATTCAAAAAATGCATTATTTGGGAGGCCTCTTGGGTGATTTCAAAACTTGCTAAGTAAGTGTCAGAACTAGCCCAGATCGGATGCTCGGGTGTTTTCGAGGTCCCTGATCACGATTATGATGTCTAAATTGACTCACAGCCGACCTGGAGCTCAGGAACGTCAACGAACGTCATCTTCGTGGGACTCTCTCAAAATTCACGCGGGAAAGGAGGGCAACTAGACGATCGGAGTTTTTTTGGGTCGCTGAATCCAAATATGGCATCGGCGAATATCTCCCGGATACCTGGTGCGCCCAAACCTCGACCTGGACGTCATCTCCGAGAATTTTCCTCACAATATCGACAAGAACAACCCGAAAATGATTGAGCGGAGTTTTTTGGGGCGCTGAATCTAAATTTCACGTCGAAAACGACCCCCTGAACACCTAGTGCACCGGAACTTGGCCCTGAACGTCATCCCCGAGGGGTTTCCAGACACAATTCAAAAAGACGAACCGAAAATCGTTCCGGGGGGTTTTTTGGGGCGCTGAATCCGAATTTCACGTGGAAAACGACCCTCCGAACACTTGGTGCGCCCTAACCTGGCCCTGAACTTCTTCACCGAGGTTTTTCAGAGCCAATTGAAAAAGGATATTATGGATGCAAAGGAGATTGTAAACTGAACACCTGTAGTTGCAGGAAGCACGGCCTACCTTGCAATCTTGCCTGTAAAATTTGTGAAGGTTCAACTTGCCTTAACACTGAAAGATATTCAGATGAAAACGTTAATGTGCCAGAGACAAAGGCCTCAGATGAGGGAGATGTTCCCCGTATGAATACATCAGTCGATGACGATGAAAATGACCAGACACATTTGAGTTATTAATTAATTAAGGAATTACAAACTTACAGGTTCATTGTGTTCGATTTGTGGCCAATAAAAATTGTTTTACCGTAAATTACATAAATATTGCATTTCTATTCATTCTCTTTCTTTCCTCCTCACGTAATCTAGAATCAACAATTGCACACACCTATTGCAGTATTGACGCCTCGGAGATGACGTCCAGGTCTAGGTTCAGAAGCACCAGGTGTCCATGCGGTGTTCGCCGATGCCATATCTAAATTCAGCGACCCAAACCCCCCCCTTAACGATTTTCGGTTCGTATTTTTCAATTGGGTCTGGAAGAACCTCGGTGAAGACGTTCAGTGCCAAGTTAGGGCGCACCAAGTGTTCGGGGGGTCGTTTTCCACGTGAAATTCGGAATCAGCACCCCAAAAAACTTCCCGGAACGATTTTCGGTTCGTCTTTTTCAATTGTGCCTGGAAACCCCTCAGGGATGACGTTCAGGGCCAAGTTCCAGTGCACCAGGTGTTCAGGGATTCAGCGCCCCAAAAACTTCGCTCAATATAACAGAAATTCGCCAAAAAATAGATAAAAATGCTCTTAGGGTTTCTAAAAATTTAAAATTTTTATAAATTACCATGCTAGCTTGTTCCTTCTTATCACAGAACGTTTCCAAATGTTCTTGTACTTCCAACATGCCGTATTTTAACGTTTCGATGAACCTAGAGTTGCTTATGGCCGATGTGTTGAACCAAATTAAATTCGTGACCAGCACTCGATGATTTACGAAATCTACCATTGAAACCAGCCGCGAACCGATTAATTTTATGGTCGGTAGGCCGCTAACGGACGACTGCGACATATACGAACACGATTCCTTCGTTATTTCTAGGGCTGAAGAACAAATTTCCTAAAAAAAAAAAAAATATTTGATAGTCGAATATGTGATTTTCAGAACTTGAACCTACCGTAACTAGTCTTTGGAATTGGTGGAAAAATTGTAAAGTATTTGCCGGTGTCTGTAGCATGTTTGATTGAATGTAAGATGTCCAATTATCCAAAACATCGCTCTTGGAAATGGGTCTCATGTTCAATAAAGTTGATAGATTCGGAGAGGCGTTGCAAGGCGTCACTTCTCCCAAATCTCCTGTACTGGAACCGCTAAAAATTAAAACGAAAACCTATATCACCATATAAAATTTCAAGAAATTAAGGAACTTTATATGTGTGAACAACATCTAAAAAAGAAAGTTTATAAAAACACTAGTTGACCCGATCTCGTAAAAATCTATAAAAAAACAAACCTGGTGTCTGATCTAGCGCTAGATTGAACCTGAGAATTATTTTCCCTCAAAGCTAAAGATGAAGGAGGAAACATGGTGCTATTATCAATCATGCTGTTATCGAATTCTGGAGCTATAGCGATTTCATCTAAAGGAGATTCCGATCCAACTTCATCGTCTGATGATTCTTCTGTCAGCAATCGCTAAAAACAAAAAATATATGTTAGCAGTTGATACGTAGGATTTTTTTCTATGACGTATAGCACAGAAAGCAACGTAAACAGACATTTAAAACAATAAATAAACTTTTTGGTTAGTATATATCTTTCCATGATATAGATGGGGTTTAGTGACTGTTGCAAACAATACAAAACAAAACGTCAACTCACATTATGATCAAAAGGACAGACGTGTACCTTTCTTACTGTTAGTACGGGCGTTTTTTCACTAACACTGTCTTCCAATTGCTTTAAATTCACTTGATCGTCCTCTCCTTGACTCAACGGCCGTCGCCTTACACCCCAGTTGAAGTTATCCGTGCTCTCGCCCTAAAAAAATGACGAGTGACAATTGACAATTACGAGTTATTTAGTGAAACAGACCTCAATACTTTCGCTTTCGTATTCCAAGAAATCAAAATCTTTAAAGACGCCAAACTCGGTTGCAGCTTCGTCGCGTCTTGAACCACCGCTCATGTCATTATTACCAGCAGATACTTCTTCGGTACTAGATGCCATGCTGGATTGCCGTTCGATGATATCCGAAGTTTGACTGAATATGACCTTAAATAAAAATATTAATAATTTGATAAATATACTAAACGAAATAAGTCTTACTGATGGACTCTTGGGTAGACCCACTCGTTGTCCACAGGTGGTCAAAAGGTTGACCAGGCATTCTCGAACTCTACCCTAAAAAAAAATATAAATTAGGTCATAAAGGAAGTAATAGAAAAGCACACGAATATAAAATCAGAACATAAATGAACTTAGATTAAAAAAAAAAATTTATGGCGAAATTGCCATTGTAGCACAAACTAAAATACTAATATAGATAACAACAAAGATGTGAGATAAAGCTATACGTAGCATTGAAGTATATAGGTAGTAAGCAAAATAGGTAAAGGCACGAAAAGAACAAAAGTAAGGCAAATTGTAGATAGCCTATGTCGATGATGTCTTAACCATCTCAAAAAACTGGTGGTAATAAAGAAATTACTAAAAGAAAGACACGAAATAGGATTTAAAATAAACGCCACGCCATCCTTGCTGACTATATGACCCAGGTAATTAACTTTATTTTAAAATAGTTGACACTTCTTGGGGTTTAGCATCAGTTGGGCAGTTTCAAGTCTTTTAAAAACATCCAAGTTTTTTAGATGTTCATTAAAGGTCTTCCCCAAGACTATGATGTCCTCTAAATACACCAGGCATGTTTTCCAGGATAACCCCCTCATTACGTTTTCCAAGTCTTTCAAATGTCGCGGGGCCATTATATAGTCCAAATGGAATGACATTGAATTACCACAATGCAAATCCGGTGGTAATAGCTGTATTTTCTTTGTCTACTTGGTCCATTTCCACCTGCCAACATCCAGACTTTAAGTCTAATGTCGGAAAAACAAAAATAATGTAAGAAAAAACTGAAAAGTAAGATAAATTTAAATATCTAAATGTAAGGAACATGATCAAGGCTTACCATGCAAATGGAAAATTTTTAAAAGGTAAAATACTAATTGAGATTTTATAAGACGATAGTACAAACGGGTTCGCTGCAGAAGACAATTACAAAGACGAAGAAACAAGAAAACGATATAAATATACAAGAAAAGAACTTATTATGAACAATTCGACAAATTCGAGCAAATGATTGCAGTTACTGGACGATGTTATGATATTTTTGTACCAAAAGAAGGAAAAGCAGGAAGAACTTGTAAAACTCAAAATTGACAGTGATAGAACTTTCTACCAGCCCATGGGTCTCTCCGATAGTCCTGGTCCATAAAAAGGATGAAACTACGAGGTTATGTGTGGATTACCGTCAGTTAACCAATGTTACCAAGAAAGATAGTTATCCTCTGCCTCGATTCAACGATACTTTGGACACATTGGCCGGAAGTAAACTATTTTCTATATTAGACTTATAGTCTGGATATTAGCAGATGGAAATGAACCCAGTAGACAAAGAAAAGACAGCTTTTACCACAGGATCAGCATTGTGGTAATTAAATGTCATGCAATTTGGACTATACCGTGAGTAGCATAAGTCTTACCCCCCCCCTATCTAACTCGTTACTGAAGTCTTGTTAGGAAAATCGCCGAGACACGTCGATTTTTGATTTCTACAGTGTACATTTTTGTATGAATAGTTTACCCTTAATTTCATCCCTTACTGGAAAAATTTCGAAAATGTAAATGGCAAGGGGTGGTGAGTGATAGCTCATTTGAAAGAGGGTTTTATTCTCTATTCAACCATGTAAAAAATTTTGAAATTTGCTTCATTAATTCTCGACTAATTGTTGTTTCAGAGCAACGGAAATTAACGTAGCCGCACTATCCTTAGAATTAAAATTCGACCCTGCATGATTTCGTTTTTGGTTCAGACGTGAAGTAAGACCTTTTGCCATTAGAAGGTCACTATTAGTTTAGTTGCTTTCCTATTTTGTGAGGTTTTGTTATTTTTAAACATTAATAAATCAACACGTAATGAAGCAAATTTAAATTTTTTTTGCACGGTTGAATAGAGAATAAAACCCCCTTTCAAATGAGCTATCACTCACCACCCCATGCCATTTAAATTTTTCGAAAGGGTTGTTTCCCTTCAGAAAGGGATGAAATTAAGGGTTAACTAATCATACAAAAATGTACATTGTAGAAAACAAAAATCGACCTGTCTCGGCGATTTTCCTAACAAGACTCCAGTAACGAGTTAGTTAGGGGGGGGGGGGGTAAGACTTATGATGCTCACTGTATAATACTCCCGCGACATTTGAAAGACTTATGGAAAGAGTATTGAGAGATATCCTGCAAAACGTGCCTGGTATATTTAGAATACATCATAGTCTTGAGGAAGACCTTTAATGAACATCTAAAAAACTTAGAAGATATTTTTTAAAAGACTTCAAACTGCCTAACTGATTCTAAACCCCAAGAAGTGCCAACTATTTCAAAATAAAGTTATTTACCTGGGTCATATCGTCAACAAGGATGGCGTGACTGTATGTAAGGGAAAAGTCCTTCTATCAAAGAGTGGTCACAACAAACTGAGAAACATCAAATAAGAAGTTTTCTTGATCTATGTACGTACTATCGAAGATTCATCAGGAAGTTTGCAGATACTGCTAAGCCATTAACACGACTCACAGAAGTAGCGAGAGAATTCTGCTGGAACGAAGATTGCCAAACTGCCTTTGAAACATTAAAGAAGCATTTACCAATAGCACCAATACTATGCTACCCACTACTAGAGGATGTTTCAAAAAAGGCGACAAAGTCTGGCTCCATAACCCAAAAAAACGAAAGGGTTATTATTCGAAGCTTCAAAGGTCTTGGGAAGGTCCGTATCTCATCAAGAAAAAAAAATCAATGATGTCATTTACCGTATAAGTAAGACCCCGAACGGTAAACCGAAGGTAGTGCTCCAAATCTGGCTGGCGCCATTTGAGGGTGACCATGACGAGGGAGAAGTAAACCAGCTCCAAGAAACACCTGACCTTGTCTTTGAAGAATTTATGGATGCATATGGAGGTACCGGAAAGTAAGATATCGTGTTACAAATGAGCAACAACAAGATTTGCTCACGATTCCTAAAGACTACTCATTGGTCCAGAGTACTTCTGCCAACATCAACGACGCTCAAGATCTGGCATCTGTATTCCGAAAGAAATTTGGTCGATTGCCAGAACTTCAAGATCAGTTACCAACCCCTGGAAAAACATTAAAACTTCAAGATGGATCGCGTTATCTTTTCTATTTGGTAACAAAGAACACCTTCTGAGATCAATCCAACTATCAGGATGTATGGGAAGCAGTACTCAGTCTGAGGGAGCATGTAATGGAGTCCAATGTACAGAAACTAGTTATGCCAAAGAGAAGCAACCAGCTGAAATAGAGGATTATTAGAAATATGGTGAAAGTAATCGTCCAAGATACCCAGGTTGAAATACTGATGTGCAACCATTCGCCCAGCGTTCAGGTTATTGCAAAAACCGGTCCTTGTTACTTTCATGCAACTGGAAATTGTAAAAAAGGATCCAGTTGCAGATACAATCATTCAATTTTAGTTCCGGGAGGAACTATTTCTTAAGGAGGGGGAAATTTGATGCGAAGCCGACTCTGTTCCTTGTTTACTCCTTACCCGCAGTATGAAGTCTAGCGGTGGCCATATAATAGAGACAAACGCACCGCTTCGAGAAGTGATCCCTTTGCGGCGTATGAGTCATAGAGAGGCAGTTCCCGATCTCTCTGGAAAGCCGAGAGTGTTCTGGTATAGAGCTGGTTTTATATAAATAGCGTGAGTTTGTCGACGGACGAGAAGATTCAATTTAAGTTTTGGACAGAAAAGATAAATTGTAATAAATAAATTAGAATTGTGAATAAAGTGTTTTAAATAAATAAACTATAAATAAATTAAATAGTATGATTTCTAGAATTTGTTTTATGTTAGCTAATTGAATTAATACTAATTTTACTCTCATTATGGCTGTACTTCGTACTCTATTTTATTACTTCTTAGTTCATCTAATTTTCTTTTAAATATCCCTGTGGCACAAAAAAAAGTTGTTCTCTCTTCTGGGCCCGTGGCAATCATGACTTTCATTCAACATTCAAAATAAAATTTGTCACTTTTTCTTTTTCTAGAAAAATCTTTGCCAAATCAATCTGACACTTAATTAATTGTTGCTTTTTAATCGGCTGGTGTGAATTAAACTACGATAAGTATTACTTAAATATGTAATAAGTTTCACCTTGTTAAGGGGAAATTTATTTTGAAACAGTGCGAATGGCCCTAAGGTGATAGGTAAAGAAAACTTAGCTAAGTAACGAAAAGACGTGGCATCTCCTCGAAATCTAGTTACTTTTAGGGAAATTTCAAATTAATATGAAATTCGAAAGAAATGACATGACAATTGACATACATTTTTAAGAGTAGAAAATGTTTTGTTTGGTTTTGTGTTTGTTGTTTTAAGATTGAGTGAAAGTGTTAAAAGTAAATAGCATCCCAGCTATTGAAACATTCATTTCGATGTTTAATCCATTTGAGTATTCCATAAATAATTAAATGTAGCTCGTCCAAATCATCATTTTCCTGAATAAAATTATTCATATTTGTATTGTTTTAATAGACAAACAAAAGATAATAATTAAATGCTTCCTCCACCCATAAAACGATAAAAAACATAAAAATAAAACAGGATAATAATAACAACGAATAATGAATGTAGATTGAAGTTAAGATTAGAAAAGGGGAACAACTTTAAGGGAAAATCTTAGGTAAAACATAGTTAACGTCCACCTCAAGAGTCGATTTGTCACCGTGATTTGAAGGTTACCTTAAAGTTATGTTTCAATAAGTATAACCGGTGTATTCGGCCCTTAAGGATTAATAATTCTGAATCCCTTATTATTTATAAAAACGTAAATCTTGAAGGATTTGGCACAAAATTCAAAGCCCTAAATTGAATAGCAGTAATAAACAACAAGGCATTTTTTGACATATTGATATATAATTCCTTAAATTACAAATAACTGAGAAGTACGTTAGTTAAACAGTAAAGTATATTAAAAAGTCATACCTGACACATCCAAGGCCGTTTCCATCCTGATTGCGGTGAAGTATCTGCAGGACTTATCGAGCAAGACCTCCTTGGCGTGGAAGCAGTCTTTGACGATGCAGGTTCTTCGTTTTTATGTATAAACCGTCGTCCTATAACAGGAGTCTGGGACATATCGAAAGTAAATTCCATCGTTCTTCCTGGTAACTCTTTTTTAGTAAAGATATTATCTTCGTTGAATGAAGGATGCGGCATCGGCGAACTCTCCCAATGGGAGTGAATGGTTATCGGCGGTGCCACCAGAGAGCTGGATCTACTAACGACCAATTTTAAAATTTTTAACGCTTCCTTCCAATTAGGTCCTTCGATGTATTTAACTATGGCTTTGAGTAAATCCGCGTTTACGGGCTGAGCTGCGGCCGTAGCTAAATCGACATAGTGCAAAATGCAGTGAATTATGTTCAATATTGGCAACTGTAGAGTACTGGGTCCTTTTTCTAAGATTTCTATTAAGAAAGATAGCATATTTAGGCTTAAGTGTGAGTATGTATCGTGTAAGTATTTCACGACGCACTTTGTCCATTGGAAACTTTCTTTACTGAATGTTCTTCGGCTGTAGAGATTCATTACGGTACCCAGATTTTCCAGCTTTTTACTTTTCTCGTGGCTCACCTAAATTAAACATTAAATTATCATTTCAAACTATATATTCTGTTTAAAACGAAAAAGGAGCAACTTCTTTTATGATGAGGAATAATAATAATACTCTCCCTACAATTCACCATCTTGCGAATAAATTATAAGCTCATAAACATAGCTTGTGCGGGGTAGGGACGAAAATTATTGTATTCCATATGATTTACCGTAGAAGAAAGCCCTGAAAATCCCACCCACCACCGTAGAATACCAAGAAAACGTTTTGTTTCCACTTAGCGAACATTAGAGTTTCAAAATTTGTAACAAAACATTAATCCTTATCAAAAACCTACAGAAATTCAAAAATTTTAATTCGAAATAAATGCATGTTTAGTTTTATATATGCAAAAACAAATTAATGTCTTAAATAAAGAAAAATCTAAAAGTCTAACGAATTATGAAGACTAATGAAGAAAAACTGGTAAAAGAAACCGGCGAATTAACAAAGAAGTAGAATGGATAACAGCGAAAAACAGAAACATTAGAAGAAGAAAAAACGAAAAGCCAACTCCTCTCCAGAAACCTCTCCTGGCCAACCAGGAGGTAGCAAAATCTACAAGAGAAAGAAACAGTCGAACAAACAGTGAAGATAATAAATATGAAGAATTGTACCGTACACTGGCAAAAAATAATATTTCCTTTCAAGCCACAGCTCTAAGCAATAACCAGTTTAAAATTAATATTAATCAAGAAGAAGAAGACTTCAAAAATGTCATATCAACCTTGAATGCTAAAGACATAAATTGGCATTCCTATGAAATTAAACAGAACAGAGATAAAGTAATGGTTAATACCTACTACATCTAAACCAGAAGATATTGTTGAAGACTTGCAAAGTCAAGAATTAAAATATAAAGAAACTGTCAATACAGGGTGTTTCCGAACTTGGCGTCCACATTTGTAGGGGTGGTAGTTCGAATAATTTGAGAGCGATTGGCAGATTTTACCAGTTAAAAATACACTAAATTAATTTTAATTTTTTTATCATTTCTTCATTCCATTAGTTATACTGCAAGCAACAAATTGTATTAAATTTTAATAGAACTAATAAAAAAACCCTCAAACATGTTTTTCCTGTAAAAAATAATTTTAAAAGATGCTCATTCTTCGCTTTTATTAATACATAAACAAGTAGACTATTTATTCGTTTACCTGTGCAATATTATCTGCAGCCCTGATACAAAGTTCATTGGCATCTTCGTAATTCAACAGCATGTAAGGAAGTAAAGCAATCACGTTCATGGGAAAAGCTATGCTCTGGGACGGATCGACGACCACAAAATTTAATAAAGGCGTAAAATGAGATAGCAGCGCTACAACCGGTTCGTATATATTCGGATGCGTACAACCCTAAAAATATATATAACTTTTAATCAATTCAGATATTTTACGTGCTATTTTTGTGCTTAAATTATGCTGCCCTCTTAAGAGTATATGTCCTAACTGCAAAATTTAAATTTTTTTATATTGATACAGTTGGAAAGCGCTCTATATTCTTTATATTTCTACAAATTTACAAAATCCTATTTACTTTAATGAACCCAATATAATTAAAACTATTGTCCTCTGTGAAAATATATCATGCTTTCCTAGTTTAAATAAACACTAAAACTTTAATATCTCAAATAGCATAATTGGTACATAGGACAACTAGTCTTAGGAGGGCAGTCGGCATGTCGGATTTCGGATATTTAGGGCGTCACCGTCAAACATTGTTATGACAAAACACTACATTTAACACTTGTAAAACTTGTTAATGCAATATAGAACAATAAACAATGTTGACAACACTTTAAACGACGTTACACAAACAATTATTAAAGAAATACGGATAATAATAATATATCAATTATTAATCAATTAAAAAAATGATACTAGCAATCCGGAGCCAGCGTACCACCGACCAATTGATCACACTTCTCTAATCTGTTGTCATTACTTATTTTCTATCAACATCCTGCTGGCTCCGTTCCGCTCACCTTGCCCCTCATTATGAATGGCAAGTGTGTATCATTTTTGCTAAGTCATCACTTATAAAAACCAAGTAGAAGCTTACAACTTATCTTATTGAAATACCGACTACCAATAAATTAAACTTCTTAAAACTATAAACAAAATAATAGTTAAACATGGGTGCCGACGACATACATTTTAGAGATGAATGAAAAACAAAAACATAATAGTAAACAAAACAAAACACATGGACGATAAATTCCTTTCGACCATACAAGACGGCTGGGTAGCTATTCTTAAATTTGAGGGAATAGAAAACCGATTTTTCCTATTTATCTGCAACGCACAAAATTTGTATTTTTGTCTCATTCTTCCCTGAGATTCAAGACTAGATACCCTGCACCTGATGGTATATCCCGACACTTCTAGTAAAGTGCAAGGAAGTTCTAGAGGGACCACTGTGTCAATTATTAGGAGCTCTTGGGTATGTTCCACAAAGCTGGAGGTCTGCAGGAGTTGTCTTCATTCCCAAACCTAGAAAAGTGTCTTACTTGAAGATATTGGGGACGATATATCGATAGCAGTTTACCTACTGATATGGAAAATCTTGCAATGCAGGCTAGCTCAAAATTCAAAAGAAAAAAGAAATTCCTCCTTTTACCATGAAAATAAGAAACAGAATTCAAACATTTTCTGCTTTAATGGCAGCATACTCAGAGGAAGAGCTCTTAAATTATGAAGAAGCATTTGAAAGTAAAAGTATGGAGAAATGGAAGGATACAATGTATGATCAGTATACATCTCTTATTGATAATAAAATTTGAGAGTTAGTCGATTTACCTCCAAAAAGAACTCCAATAAAATGTAAGTGGCTTTATGAATTAAAAAGAAATGAAGATGGCTCAATAAAAAGATATAAGGCCCGTCTAGTGGCAAGAGGATTCAGTTAAAGGGAAGGATTTGATTATTGTGAAACATTTTCACCAGTAGTGAGGAACCTTTTAAGCAATATCTGCACAAAAGAACATGAAACTCAGTTTGATATTAAAACTGCGTTCTTATATTCAGATATTGACTATGATATTTATATGGATCAACCTATTGGTTATACCGATGACATTAATCCAGCCTGCCATTTGATTAAAGGATTATATGGGTTTAAAGAAAGCCCTAGACAGTGGAATAACAAAATGGATTCATTTTTGTAGAAATATGAATTTGACTGCAAGTATTTGTAGACGATATAAGCATCGTAGTAAACGGTAAATTTGGATCTGTTGTTTCAGAAAAGATGCAGAAGACACTAAATATCGTCGAAAGATGGCGCCTAAAAGAGGGATTGTCCACAAACCCGACGAAAACCTCTGTGGTTGCATTCACAAGAAAAATAAACTTTCAAGTATTGAAGGAGCTTTATATGTGGAGACATCATAAAATGACAAAGGAGGTTAAATATCTTGGAATCAGTCGTACTTAGCCTCTGCAGTCATAAAGAAAAAACAACCGAAAACGCTATCTATAGGCTTGTAGATGGATAGTACACATGGGGGGATTAAACCAAGATTTATACCATGGTTGTAATACCCGTTATAACTTATTCATTAGTCATATGGTGGCACAAGGCTAAAAGCATGACAGCAATGGAGCTACTGCTAGGTCTTCCATTACACCTTGTGGTGGCGAAGGAGGCTATGGCGGCGGTATACAGGCTCTTCACTAATGGATTTGGATGAGAACTTTTGAGAAAATGACACCATACAATAATTGAGAAATTAAAACAAAAACCGGTGTTAAGAATGACCTATTGTTCATGACTTTAGGAAATCTTTCGATATTCAAATACTAGAAAGTGCCAAAAGGCAGGAAAATAGGGAAATACAAAACGAATCAATCTGGTATACAGACGATTTGAAGATGAAAAACAGCACATGAGCTAGGCCTTACCATGCGAATTCAGGGAGGGCCATGAGTCTGAACCTAGGGTCACTGATATCAGTCTTCCAGGCTGAAGTAACAGCAATAAATGCCTGCGCCAAGGTTAAATGATTTAGAGATAAGAGTGTCTTTATTATGACAGACATTCAGGCCAGCCCTTCAAGCACTGAAGAAGGTAAATTAATATTCGATTGCCAACAGTCCCTCCAAGCCCTGGTAGAACATAACAAGGTAACTTTTGGGATTCCAGGACATGAGGGAGTGATTGGAAACGAGAAAGCAGACCCCCTAGCCATGAATGGAGCTAGGAAAACTCTAACATGTTAAACGGGTGCTAACGGAACAGCATAGGCTCTGGTTGGAACTTCCCGGACTTTGGGCAGTCCAGAATATTCATAGAATGTCCATCCAAGAGCAGACCAACTGATAAACCTTAGAAGAAGCGAAATAAAGGACGTAATAGTAATCTTTATGGGACACTTCGGCCGTTGAAGACACCTAAATATCTTAAATATTATGAAAAGGAGGACGAAATTGCAGATATATTCTTGAATTCATTAAAAATATTAACCTGATGGGGTAGAAACTATGAGGAGTAAAATAAGCCTAGACCTTCAGTACAAATGAGCTTTAAACACTACACTGTAATTCAGATAGATAGATTATGAAACTACTTGTACTTAAACGTCACCAGTTCTTTTACTATATATCGTTGTGTTCATTTTAAAACTTCTTATGTGACAATATAGGAAAATTTAGAATTTTAGCATACTAAAGTTAGAATTTTATATACCTATCCAATAAAAATACCTCGTATGTTTACAAAATTCTAGATACTACAAAATAATTTATTTTATTCTTCGATTGCAGGTTTTTGTAAAACCCTCTTTGATGCAATAATTATATTAACTTACTCATATTTATAAATTCTTCACACAGAAGGTATTAATATAATAACAGTGATATTACAAATACGATTTATATTGAGATACTAACTTTTAATAGTAAGGCGTGTACCCCAGGAAACGAATTCCATCTCAACTGAGACTGAAGTTTCTCGACCTTGTCTCTAGCGTCAGGTCTGTCCAATGGTAATCTGTGCATGACGCTAGCAAGCAATCTAATAGCCAATAGAAATTCGTGTTCGTAATCGGACTCCAAAAGCGACACCGCCAGCCAGAATAGTTGTGCCAAAATCGTCAATTTGTCGTCCTGAGTGGCCGAGTCTCCCAACATTTTCAAACTTTGCGCCGACCTAGATCTCGATAGATTATTGGGTGCAAATTTGTTAATGGCGCTCCTAAAAATTAGTCCGTTTAAACATTTTTACTTTCCTATCTGTATACAGATATAAGGAAAGTATAGGAATCATGATTTTTTTCGACCTCGAGTTTTCGACGGATTTTTACGTTTTGAGGTCCCCTGAATCCGTTTTGACTATTTTCGCGATGATGTCTGTGTGTGTGTGTGTGTGTGTGTGTGTGTGTGTGTGTCTGTGTGTGTGTGTGTGTGTGTGTGTGTGTGTGTGTGTGTGTGTGTGTGTGTGTGTGTGTGTGTGTGTGTGTGTGTGTGTGTGTGTGTCTGTATAACGCATAACTCATGAACCGATACACAGAAAAACACCAAATTTTAAACTTAAGCTTTGTTTCAGCGTCCAATGAGCTGATTAGATTTTGGGCAGTGTCGGAACATCTGGGGTCATTTTTATATTTTATGGAATATATCTGTTATTTACGTTTGGAGAAGAAAATTCTTCAAATAAAAGTTACTTCTAATATAATTATCTATAATTTTTGTTTTATGCAAAATTTTCCTAAAATGGTCCGTATTCGAGAAATTTGACAAAATGTAAAAAACATAATTTTTTATAAAAATTGTTCAAATAAAAGTTGTTTATAATATAATTCTCTATAATTTTTGTCCTATACATAATTTCTCTAAAATAGACCGTATTCGAGATATTTGAGAAAATGTGTAAATTTCGAAATTTGAAGAAAACTCAAAAACGGATAAAGGAAAAAACATTAAATTTTAAACTTAAGGTTTATTTCGGCCTGACGTGAAATGATTAGATTTTGGACAAAGTTGGAACATCTGGGGGGGTACTTTATGGGAGGCCGTTTTTATATTTTATGGAATATATCTGTTATTTATGTTTGGAGAAGAAAATTGTTCAAATAAAAGTTACTTCTAATATTATTATCTATAATTTTTGTTTTATGTCAAAATTTCCTGAAATGGTCCGTATTCGAGAAATTTGACAAAATGTGCAAAATTCTGATTTTTATGAAAATTGTTGAACTAAAAGTTGTTTGCGATATCGATTTCTATAATTTTTGTTTATACATGATTTTTCTAAAATGGTCCGTAATGGAAAAGTGCTAAATTTAAATTTTTCTGTATTTTCGTTTTCAATGAATATCTATAGAAAAATGTTTCGAGGTAGATGTATGTGTAAAATGTATATATTTAGTTTATCCTCTAAACATTTATAGAGATGCTGCAATAGGTTGTACAAAATAACCGGAAAATGCCTATAATAACTAGATAGGAAAGTCATGTGTTGGACACATCAGATTTTTAATTAAAATCGTTGTTGAAAAGCATAAATAAAAGTACAAATGCTACGTTTGAAAGGATCTCTTGGAACAGGGTTCGTATTCGCGCGCATGATTCCATTGGTTGTCACGGAGTATGAAACCTTAGTAGTTTACGAACCGTGGGCTTATTTGGATTTGTTTTGTATCTATGGTTTCCATCAAATTAATCAAACTATTGAAATATCTCCTTTTTTGTTGTCTTATGCGCTAGTTCAGTGATGATGTAATTATGGTTCCACTGACAATTAAAGTGACAGTAGATTTTTTGAGTGCGTTTTGTTCCTTTTGTTTACCTTAATTATATCGTTTTTTTCACTTTTATAAATCTATTCCTAAAGTAAGTAGATAAGCATGTATCAAATATACAATCGTTTAGTTACCAATTACATACCTTTAAACTATTTTTTATGACCTGTAAACAATATTTTGAAATAAAATAAAAACAGTAAAAACGTATATGTCAAATTTATTGATGTTTTTGTTAAAAGTTTGGTTAGAATTAAATGTCAGTGGAACCAAAATGACATCACACTGAACTAGCGCATTAATAAGCTTTATTAATGTGACGTAATTTATGTTACTTATTTTGACATACTATATTTCGTTTATTTTTTAAACACTTGAATTTCGATCATCCAAAGGCAAGCAAGTAGGCATTGCTACCTGTTACAGATATTCTTTATATTATTGCTTGATTAATTAGATTTTAAACATTCTTTAGGATATATTTAATTAAACACTATAAAACCATGTTAACACGTGTTTTGTGAAGTGGTTATACAGGGTGATAAATCATTTAAGAATAATAATAATTTTGTAGTTCGTTTAACTTCTCATATTATATTTTTCAGGTGGAAAAAAAAATAAACGAAATTATTTTTAATGTAACTATTTAAAGAATACAATCTTGACAATATTAAAAATAAAATGAATACCTAACCTCTATTTTTATTTAATGTTTTACAGAATTAATTACTAAACGATTATGTAACTAAAATGTTATCTACTGACTTTAGGAATATTAGATACATGAAATATTAACAAAAATTAGATATTTTAGTCTATAAACAACTTTGTTTGGCACACAAATTACGTCATCCCTAATACAGCGTACTGAATACTAACTACAACTACTTTTCTTTTTCTGTCATTTGTCACAAAATGACATTTACTCCGTAAGCTCTAAAATTAAATATGAAGTAGATGTATTTAAGCAACAGCATAGAGTAAAAAAGCTTTAAAAAAAAAACTTTAAATGCGTAGTGAAAGTTAATTCACTATTGAGAACGCATTTATATTACAGTAACTAATAGAAAAAAAGAATAACCTCCATACTCACCTTGTATTTATAGACCTGAAAAAGTTGTTCAATTATATAAACAGGAGGAAATTATGTGACGTTATGAACAATTAAAAGTTTTTCCATTGTATTTAATAAGAGTGCTGTAAAGTTGATATTGTGATACGAGCTTTAAAATGATTAGAAGCAAAATAAATAGGAGTGCAAGGCAAGACTGCCCATTATTACTATTTTTTTTTAATGAATGCGACGGTGACATTGATAGATGATATACCTAGATAGTTGTAAAGTTTAACTTACCTATGGTCAACTTCACTGCCGTGTCGATTTCGTTCTTTAACATCAGTCGTAGACTGCGCGTTCTTTCTGAAACCGTAGGAAACCGAGTAACTTGTACTCCTGGCGTGTCCTATGATCGGAGAATAGAAAACCGGAGTCCCTGCCAAGTTTATAGGCGAACCTTCCGCATTTTTTCGATTCGCATCTTTGTTATTAAGATTCGGCGTAGATTTAAAGAAATCTTTCATAAAATCGAGAGGTCGGAAATCTGATTCTAGAGACTCTACCGCCGCTTCTAGCGTAAGAAGAAGCTCAGTTACATAACCTGAAAAATAAACGATGACGTTTGACATAATTGACATTTCAGTAGAGCTAATTAAATTTTACCTTGCATATCTTCTCCTTGTTCAGCTACAGTTTCGACCAACCGACTCAAAATGTCTGATAACATTCTCGATGTTATTGGAACCCTTAAAGCCCTAAAAATTTGCAAAGACCTGCCGGCGTAATGTCTCGAAGAGCAGCTTAAACCCAATTGTAACGCCGTTTGAGCCCACCTTTCGTTGACATGCGCGTTCGGTAAAGATTCTTTAAAAACTTTAAGAATGTACTGCATGAATATGTCGATCTGTTCGAAACTTTTTATAGACCACACTTTGGCTGTGATGTCTTCGTAATTCCAAAGTGGAGAATTTTGACGGGTGGCAAGAAATTGTATAAGAGATTTTATTATAACGGAAACTGTTAGTTCTATTTTTGTTGTTGGCGGAGGTTCGGCGTTTTCGGGTACCACTACGACTTGAGGAATAACGGGTTCTTTTTCCTCGACTGAAAGTAAATGTTAAATCATGGTCCAGTCAAATAGACTTTTAGATCAAAATTTTGGAGGAAATACAGGAATTTTTGATATAAGTCACTTTAGAGTATTTGAAAATATGTGCAAAAAAAATTGTTTTTCAGGCCACGGCAAGTAACGGTAGGTGCTATAAAAAAGGTTATTTATAAAAATTGTAAAGCATAAAATTTTACATAAAAATGATATTTAGCATTTTTTGTTATTATTAAAATTAACAGAGTTAGGGTGATTAGAAGTTAAAAGAAGATATATATGACTTTGAAAAATCATAGCGAGCTGAAAATTCAATTATTTTTCAGTTTATTTTTATTATTTAATCAGGAAAAAAAATTATTTGTTTTTTAAAGTTATAACAGCTTTAATTTTTGAATTTTCAATACGACTTTATATGGTATAATAAATTTTGAAGTGAACTTATTATGGCTTGCCTGACATGAAAAATATGAGTTCACGACATCGCGACAGTTTAGTCCCCACTTGAAGTTCCATTAAATAAATAAAAATTAATAAAATAAAAATAATAAAAATAAAAGAAATAGAGATAAAAAATTATTCTTTATACGACTGATAAAATTTGATATTTGATGGTTGTCGACTTTCTCGACTTTTTATAAAAAATAACTTTCTTTTCTAAAATTAGTAATAAAAAAGATTTTCATATGCCACCAACTGTCTACGTAAATTGGCGGCATATGAAAATACTTTTAATTATTATTATTAATTTTAGGAAAAAGTTGTTCTTTATAAAAAGTCGAGCATGGTCTAAAACGTAAAATACAACCATCAAATATCAAATTTTATCAGTCCTATAAAGAATAAAGGTACTTTACTCTTGAGTAAAATTCATATTTTTTGACAAACCTCGTATACAACTGAAAAAATTTGATATTTCATGACTGTATTCTAGGTTTTAGATAATGCAGAAATTTTTATAAAGAATAACTGTTTTTCCTAAAATTAATAATAAAAAAGTTTTCCATATATGATTCCAACATATTCCAACCTAGGATGACATACTGCATAAATAAAATTAAACAAAAAGAAAATAAATAACAATAAATAAAAATAAATAAAAATTAATTAAAAAAGTCATTAAAAATAAATAAAACAAATAAAAATAAGTAAATATATACCGGGTGTTCATTTTAAAGTGTTACAGTCAATTACCGCCGAAAATGCATTTTAGAAAAAAAAGTTTCAGACAAAAGTTTTATAGTTTTTTGGGGGAAATATTTTGGCTAAATTCATTTTTTTGTAGTTGGCCATAACATGGCCATATCGAGGTGGACTTTGTTTTTTTAAATGGGAATCCCATTTTTTTATTACATATTCTTAAAGTACTTAAAAAAATAAGAAACTTTTGAGGGAAATATTTTTTTTATTGGACTTTTACTTTTTGAGTAACAGCTACTTGAAAATGTTGCTGCGCGAAAAAAAAGTTGGCCATATTATGGTTAGCTATAAAAAACGATTTTAGCCAAAAGTTTTTCTCCACAAAACTATAAAACTTTCGTCTGAAACTTTTTTTTTTATAAAAAGCGGTATATAGCTGTAACGCTTTAAGTTGAACACCCGGTATATAAAAAAAAATTAATTAAAAATTAGTGAAATAAAAATAAATGAAAATTAACAATAGAAATAAATAAATATAAAAATAAATAAAAATAAATAGAAATAAATAAAAAAAATAAATAGAAATAAATAAATATAAAAATAAATAAAAATAAATAAAAATAAATAAAAATAAATAAAAATAAATAAAAATAAATAAAAATAAATAAAAACAAATAAATATAAATAAAAATATATAAAAACAAATAAAAATAAATAAAACTTAATGAAAAAATATATAGGGTGTTCGATAAGTACGGTACATAACTTCAGGAGCGTATTCTGGAGCTAAAATAAAGGTATTTTTGTCATATACACTATGTCTCAAAAATGCTTCTTTACGGAAATACAGGGTGTGAAAGTTTCAGAAAAAAAATACAATTTTTTAAATATTTCCAAAACCACTTGAGATATTTTAATTAAATTTTTGCAGCTTTTGAGAGTTAGCAACGTTGTGTGTTTTACTGTAAACACAGTGTCTTTCGTTTAACCAATGGCGTGCGGAGAAGGTAACTTTCACACCCTGTGTTTTCATAACGAAGCATTTTTGAGACATAGTGTATATGAGAAAAATACTTTTATTTTAGCTCCAGAATACGCTCCTGAATTTATGTACCGTACTTATCGAACACCCATAAATAAAATCAAATAAAAATAAATAAAAATAAACAAGAATATATTAAAAAATATATTAAAAATTGTAATGAAAATTTTGTTTCTTACTTTTTACATTTTTTAAATATATTTTCCAGGCTTTATTTAGTAGCTGAACAAAAAAGAATCTGGATATCTGATTTTTATAGACCTATATTTTTTATATTTTTTCTCATGACATTTGATGTTTTTTTTTATTTTTATTTTTTTTAATATTTTTGTTAATTTTCAATAATTTTTATTAATTTGTACTAATTTTTCTCAATTTTTATTTATTTTTATTTGTTTATTTTTATTTATTTTCTTTTACTTTTATCTTTTCATTAATTTTTGTTTAATTTTATTTATAATTTATTTTTATTAATTATTATTTTTAATAATTTACGTTTATTTGTTTAAATTTTTTAACTTATTTTATTTATTTTAATTTCTTATTTATCTTTATTATTTTTATTTATATTTTATATTTTTATTTTTATTTATATTTATATATTTATTTTATTTATTTAAATTTTTTAACTATTTTTTATTTATCTATATTTAATATTTATTTATATTTATGTATTTTTGCTTATTCTTATTTAATTTTATTTTTTTCATTTATTTTTATTTTTTTAATTTTTTTGTATTTATTTTCTTTTACTTATTATTTATTTTTATTAAGTTTTGTTAAATATTATTTATTAATTTACATATTATTTATTTAAATTTTTCTTTATTTTCATATATTTCTATTTTTTTATTTTTTCTTAATTATTTTTATTTAATTTTACTATTTGTTTTTAATAATTTTTATTTATTAAATGAAACTTCAAGTGGGGATTAAATCGTCGCGATGTCGTTTTTATTAGTTCACTTCTCATATTTTGCATGTAAGGCAAGCCATAATAAGTTTACTTCAAAATTCATTTAACCATTTAAAGTCGTATAATACCGAAATTAGGCGGTTATATTTTAGCAACGTAATCTATATCCCAAGATAGGAGTAAAAGTTCATATAAACATAGGTTCGAAAACGTTTCGTTTTCGAGATACAGGGTGTTACAAGTGAAATCCTAATGACACATTTTGTAAATATTTTCTAAAATTTCTTTAGTCACCGGTTTTCCAAAGTTAAAAAAAATAAAATTTCTGATTTCACAGGCCTACTAATCATTGTTTTCATGAATAAGATAACATCACCTTATCATGAAATTTTCAAATCTTTTCTCTTGAAAATGATGCGTTCTAGCGAGATGCAACAAAATTAGCTTTATTATAAAGAAAACATTGGTTTTCCAAATGCTACAGTCAAAAATGTTAAAAAATGTCAACAAAAAAAATTTAGGGCAATTTTACCCTACGCCCCCACTAATTTACCCACCTATGAAGATGATCAAAAACTGGGGTTTAGTATATTAAATAGGGCGTAAAAAAGTAAGCATTTTTACCAAGTTTACTTAGTTATCTTTAAACGTTTAGAAAATATTTACAAAAGTGGGTCATCAGGACTTCACTTTTAACACCCTGTATCTCGGAAAAGAAACGTTTTCGGACCTATGTTTATATGAACGTTTACTCTTATTTTAGGCTGTTAAAATGTGACCGTCTAATTTAGGGACACCCTGTGTATTAAAAATGTATGATAGGTAATTCCTAATTTATAAATTAAAATTGTTATAACTTTTATAATAAAAACATATAAAAAAAATACTTTTTCTGAAAAGAAAGTTTATAGTAAATAATAAAAAGAAACTAAAAAATCATTGAATTTTCAACTTGCTATGATTTTTATAGTCATATATATCTCCTCTTAACTTCTAACCACCCTAACTCTGTTAGTTTTAATACTAGCTAAAAATGCTGGAAATCATTTTTATGTAAAACTTTATGCTTTACAATTAATCAAGAACTTTTTTTATAACATCTACCGTTTTTAAATAACCTCAAAAAAATACTTTACTTGATCTGAAAAACAAAATTGTTTTACATATCGTTTTCAAATACTTATTTATATCAAAAATGTCTGTATGTCCTCCATAATTTTGATTTAAAGGTCTATTTGATTGGATTATCAATACATGAAATCGTTCAAAATATTGTTTAGCTTCTTACCAGTTTCTTCAGTCTTAGCTGCCGGTATGGCTTGCATTATCGCCTTATTTGCGGCTTCTACGGTAGCATTAGATCCGAAATGGTTCAATAAAAATTCGTTTAAAGTCGGATTAGATTCTAAAATTAACATAAAATAACGCAAAATAATTAATTGAATTTCCGATTCAATGAGAGTTACCTACCTGTAAAAATGTGTTCAACTACTGTCGATAAAGTTGGAGTACTCAAACCCAACTCTAACTGCTTAGTTTTGCTGTTGAGCAATATATGAGCGACGATTAAATGATCGTTATGTAGCGCCAGTACGATCAATAAGTTGAGCAAAAGCTGTTTGCAATGCTGATAGACCAACGGGCGTGTATGGTCCAAACCCAAGAATAATATATGAAGCATTAATGGCACGTGGATCGTCCAATCGAGTTCTATGCCGTCGACAACGATGTCACAAAGTAACATTACGCCAACGTTACATCTAAAAGAATTATTTAATTTACAAAAAAATACTTTTATCTTGTAAATATTGGCAAATCTATTAATTTAGTCACCCATCTGATGAGACATATTTTTTACAAAATTTTGTATGTAAATTTGTATAAAATTGCGCCCTGAAAACTGCGGTTGGCTTTTAGAAAATAATTATTTAAAACCAATTGGATTTGTTGGGGACCAAACACGTTTGAAGATAAATGACATCGTGCAAATGACGGAAAATGTAAATGAAGAAAAATCATCAGTCTGAAGATCTTAATCTAGCCTCAGATGATTTAGATTTTGAATAAAAATTAGAATTTTATAATATTATTTTTCTATGTATTCCATTTGCTTTGTAATAAATGCTTTTGATACCATAAATGTATCGAATATTATTTTTCTATATTTATTTATTTCTTTTTTTTTTTTTTTTTCGTTATTATACTAATCTTTTTTTACTTAACTTTTAGATGAAAAAAATATTTTTTCAAATATGAATTTTTTTTATTTATTAATTTATTTATAGGTATTTTATAGTAATATACTAATTATAATCGAAATAAAGTTTATTGTCAGCCGCTCCAAAATAATTTTCAACAACAAATAAGCACTGTCTGTCAATCGCATGTAAAAGAGCATGCGCATTGGGTTACATTCAACGGACATGTCGCGCTCAGCTGCTATGTTGTGTCCTTAAAACTTTAAAACATGGCATTAGTATTCCATGAACAGTTTTTTGCAGGCAAGCCTATAGGGACCGTGCGTGAAATATAGAGGCAGCACTACTGCCGAAGTTAGCCCTCTCTAGTGTTTAATTTTAGAATTAAATGGGGTAAACATTGCAAGTAAATAATAAAGGGTATTTTTTTAAATATTATATATAGTTAAAAATAGATACCGGCCCGTACCAAACAATCGTGTACATGGTCAAAATGACGTAAAATGTGAAACATTATTAAAATCTGGACATGCATGTACATTTTAAGCAAAAAGATTTAAATGGCTAAGTGACAATAAATTGTAAAGTTATACCTTAAACAAGTGTATCCAATGTTAAAATATCGGTATTTAGTAACACTGAATTTAAAAGTATTACAATAACATTTAAAAAATGTAAATTAATAAAAAAGATTGATAATAATAATTATAAATCTTTTTAGCTTTATGTTAATCGAAATGTCATTCATCCACTGACGTTTATGAGATGTTCAATGATACATATTATAGATTGCTCACCCATCTATAACAAAATTATAAAAAACGGGTTGCAATGTGCCTTTCCTAGTGCTCACTAAATAGAGCCGTTCTAGCCCAAATGTGTTTTAAAATAAAATTTCAGCATTTTAATCTTTAGAAAAAGAGAATAATTAAAGTTTTACTTCAAGACATGTCATTATCTATTTGGAAAGTTGAGTTTTCATGTAGTTAAATAATATTAAGAGATCTAAACAATTTTTATAACAGATGGATATAAATAAATTTAGACTACTATTTCAGAAACAATTCTACATAAAATACATAATTGCTATATGTAATACAATTTTGAAAAGGTAATGTAAACAATTTTGATATGAGGTATAAACAACTTTGGTAAGAGTTGTAATTGGACACATCTATTATTCTGAATAATGTTTAATGGTAATGTCACTAAAAAAATTTACAAAAAATCACTGGATTTTTAATATTTTAAAGTTTGTTACAATCTCTTTTGACAGTAATTGCAATGTATTATTTATGATTTGTTTATTTTAATAATAAATGAGAAATAGTTAATAAATTGTAAAGAGGGCCGTGATATTTTTGTCAAATTGGACATTCTTATTTCATAATAGAAAGTTATTTCAAGTTCAGTTAAGGTCAGTCATTATTAGTGCCGCTCTTATTTTGACATCTGAGCATGCGCAGATCACTAACTTTAATAAAGATTGTGCCTGTCCTTAATAAGAAAGTTATTGCAAGTTCACTTAAGGTCAGTCACTATTAGTGCCGATTTTATTTTGACATCTAAGCATGCGTAGATGTTTATGTTCTAAAACTGACTTTATTAAGGATTGTGCCTGTCCTTAATTGTGGATGTTTAAGGGCAGCAGGTAGTGGCGAAGTTTTTTAATATTAAATATTTACTATAATCGTCATTTAAACCTTCTAAAATTATAATTTGTAATGCCTCTTTAATATTATAGACAACAAAAAAGATTAACTATAATTTAAAGTTTAGTGGCTGGCTTTATAGAAATTTGCAATATCTCTCTATTAAGGACAGGCACAATCTTTATTAAAGTTAGTGATCTGCGCATGCTCAGATGTCAAAATAAGAGCGGCACTAATGGTGACTGACCTTAAGTGAACTTGCAATAACTCTAATAACATACTACATTAGTTTTAATCAACAGAATAAACCATTATCTGTAAAATTATATTTATATAAAATGTTCATTTAAATACCTATGTAAAAATCTTAATGACAAGAAAACACTAAAGATTCTAATTTCTAAACTGGTTCTGTAAATGATTTCTTTACAACTAAGTGCTCAAAATTGATACAAGCTAGATAAAAAGAAAACTTTGCCCAGTGAAATACGCTTTTCGTAGACTGATTTACATATGGATAAGCAATCTTTGTAATTATGTATATCATTGGGTGTGAGGCATAATTGTGCTCTGTGGAAATTTATAAAATTTCTTTACTATCGAATGAAATCCAGGTTTCCAAAGTGATGTGTTTGTACATCCACGAGGTTTGTTCCAACAACAATTTTGGGACCATACATAAACCAGTCCACAACTTATTGTCGACGACTGATAGTCGACGACCTGTCCACGACCTGTCGAGGATTGGGACGCGATTCGGAACTTGGATGTGTTGGAACACATTTTTATGTTGTCAGACACACTCTGTTAATAACGTCAAAGTAAAAGCAAATTTAACAAATGTAAAATTTTGAATTGGGAAGTAAAAAAAATTATAAAACTCATGAAAAGATTTATAAATTTTAATTATTCGATTTTTAGAGTTGGTGGTGGTTTATTTACGAGCTCACTTTCGTTTTGCGCCTATCTTGACAATTCGTTCATATTCACACCCAGGAACTGATTTGACAGTAAAGAAACTGGTTTGTGATTAGGTTTGGGTCTGTTGGAACACTAGGTTTTTGTACAGTTTTGAGTCCGAAGTTTGTTGGAACACCAAATCTAGACTGCGCAGAATCCCGACAGTACGCAAACCGATTTGCTATTGTGTTGGAACAAACCTACGGATGCAACAAGTTTTTTCGATATTGATATTACGAAAATAATTCGTTTTCATTTTATTAATAATTATTAAACAATAAATGCCGTATAAAACATTAATAAATACCCCCCATAAAGTTCACATTTTTGTCACCAGTTAGGGTTAAAGTCATGACGCACGGTCCCTATACGATTGTTTTTGTAATTAAATTATCTTTCTTCTGATATCAATTTGTATTTGTTGACATATCGGTGTAGTTACCTATATTGACTTACTTGTTTATACCTGCTTGCCAGATAGCCATGCACAGAAATAAGTAAATAAGCCTACCCATACATATTCTCCATATTAAAAACTATCTGTTAAAATTAATTTTGCTCGGTTATCATAAAAGAGGTTATAAAAAAAATTTATTAACATTTATTTAATTAAAAATAGCCATGAATACTTTTTGAATGGCAAGTTCCCATAGGCGTGTTAATATTTCAATAAAAGTTCATAAAAAATATGCCTCACCTGGTTATCAGATGGGTGAAGGTCGATCTCCCACGGTCTCTTAGACTATTGTACAATTAGATAATAATAATTTGAATTGTCATTCCTACCTGTGAAATCCAGAAATTGGTTGAGAACTGTCTGGCAAATATTCGGTCAATGGTGCAAAATAACCTCCAAATTCTGGCATTGGCAATGGATGTGGTTGCGGTAAAGACATATTTATCTTATCTCTAAGTAAGACGTCTTCTTCAATGGCCACCTAAAATTATTAAAAATTTCACAGCTTAACCATTTAATGGGCAAGACCCTAGGGACCATAAAACGGGGTTAATTGGGAACCGCGGGGTTATTTGGAACAAAAAAAAAATAAATTTAGCAACGCCGCCGCAACCAAAATGTGCGGGTCGCACCACGTGGTAGCATGTTTATGGCGAACGTGATGACTCGCTTCAGTCCGTTGAATTAACTGTTGGAAGCGTGAGGTGACTTGCAAGAAATTGTGAAAATCGACGTAAAAAACGATAGTGTCCAACTTTCTGATCTCGGAATTTGACTGCTAGTGATAAGGTAACTTTGATAGTTGTACCTAATTGTTAGACGACTTAGATAACTCAACGTAATTACTGTAAAGATATATTACATGTTAGATTTTTAACGGGCTATTTTTTTTTTGGTGGGGTAATTTGGGACATAGCAATGGGGTTATTTGGGACATAGGCAGGTTAATTAGGACAGCAAAAAACATGAAATATATGACCGGTAACGGTGAGTTTTTTGCCTCTAGGCTGTAAAAATGATTCGAAACTATCGAAGGAAAATAAGTAATTGTCAAAAAGGAAAAACATTTAACCTATACTTCTCCTATTCGGAGAATAATTTAGTGTAAGCGAGATAAAAAAAAACGAAAACGGAATATTAGAGCTGCAGCCGAAAAGTATAATACTGCCAAATACACTCTAAGGAGGAAACTTCTTGGTCAAAATATGTAGCAAAAACGCCCGGGTAAACCGAGTTTGTTCAACGATGATGAAGAAAATGTTTTTGTGCAAAACCTGAACACGGTTGTTCCATGGGGTTACCCATTTGATTTGAGAGACTTAAGAATGATGGTGAAACGATACCTCGATAAGAAAAGCTTTCGAGAAGGAAGAATAAACGACAACATGCCGGGAAAAGACTGGGCTGTCAATTTTATGAAACGAAATAAAAATAAAATATCAAATCGCCTTTCAGCTAATATATCAACCAAAAGGGCCACTCTTTTAGAAGATGTGTTAGATCAGTTTGTTGAAAATGCATCCCAAATGTTGTTTGGGACCGATCCTTCTCTAATTATTAATTTCGACGAGACAAATCTCACAGACGACCCGGGATCTAAAAAATTCATTTACAAGAAAAGCACCAGATACCCAGAAAAGATAATTAATGTCACCAAAACCGCAATTGGCCTGATTTATGCAGGAACAGCCGATGGACAGCTTCTTCCAATATATGTTGTTTACAAGGCTGATCATTTATGGGATTCCTGGACCATCGGTGGTCCTCTAGGTACAAGGTTTAATCGTTCCAAGAGAGGCTGGTTCGACAGTATATGCTTTGAGGATTGGTTTTTCACTGTAGTTGTACCATTCTTTTGAAACAAAGATGGTCAAAAGGTAGGTAGGATCTGGTTTTTCCAAACTTTTAGTTCAACTAATTTTTTTTTAAATTTTTGTTTAGATCCTAGAAGGAAGGGTAATAACATTATCTCTAGGCGAAGCTACACTGACAGCTAAAGCAGGCAGGGGCTGTCCCCATGGAGGAATACTATCACCCCTTCTCTGGTCAGTCCTAGTGGAGAAACTTATAAAAAGGCTAATATCTGCAGATGTTTACTGCCTAGAGTATGCCGATGACCTGGCGATCGTCGTAAGAGACAAGTTCACAGGTACAATATCGGAGAGCACACAAACAGTTCTAAACATTGTTGACGAGTGGTGCAGAGAGGAAAAACTAACAGTAAACCCTCACAAAACCACAATAGTCAACTTTACAAACGAAAAGTACCAACAGGACTAAAATCACCAGTACTGAAAGGAGTGAAGATTCCATTTACTCAAGAGGCCAAATAATTGGGAGTCATCTTTGACCACAGATTAACATGGAATCAGCACTTGCAAAAAGTCACCCAAAAGAGCACAATATCCTTCAACTTATGTCGAAGGTTGTATGGAAAAATTGAGGACTACAACCAAAAATGTTCCTATGTTATATACCAGGCCGATGATAACCTACGGGTCGATGGTATGGTGGCCAAAGACCAAATAATAGGAATGCCTTCAGACGAAATGCTCCCAAAGTATAGCTTTCAAAAGCAATATAAAATAAGAATACCAGACAAGGAAGCGTAGACGGGAGGACCTCCTATTCATGCAGATTTCACCTGGTATACAGACGACTCCAAAACCCATGAAGGTTCAGGAGTAGGTATACAGTATGTCCTCCTAAGTTGGAATCATATAGAAAACTTTTTTATTATTAATTTTAGGAAAAAAAGTTATTCTTCATAAAAAGTTCTGCATTATCTAAAACCTAGAATACAGTCATCAAATATCAATTTTTTTCCGTGGTATACGAGGTTTATCAAAAAATACGACTGATAAAATTTGATATTTGACAATCATTATCTATGTTATTGCATAAATTTAAAAAATAAAATGGATAGAGAAAGTGAACGGAGTAAAAATTATTTGGAAGATTACTGACTATTATAGAAGAGTATAAGAATATAATTGAGAATAAGAAAACATGTCAGAATTCTACAATAGTACAGCAAAAACAGGAGTACGCAATTACTTTAGGCAAATTAAAAAAAAACAGCAAAAAAACATAAAGCTGATGAAATGGTAAATAAACCTTTATAATATTATAGTTAATATACTTTATTTAAACCACATTTTACATTTTCTTAGGTTGAAGTATATAAAACTGGTGGAGGTAGTACGTCTTTAATAATGAGCAGCTATGACATACGGATACTGTGTTTTTTAGGAACCCAAGCAAAAGGACATGATAATATTTATGATAGCAATGCGAATGTAGACCTAGAACCAAGTCCAACAACTCCAACTGCAGCCCCTACTGTAACCCCAACTACAGTCTCAACTGCAACCCCAGTTACAACATCAACTGGTGAATCGTGAACACTATCGAACCATCATGTTCATGTTTTTTTTTTAATTTTATACTCCTCTGGGTTCTTTTGAGATATTTTAGGGGGTCATCAAACAGCGATACATAATTTTAAACATTGTTATATCCTATTTTGCATTTCTGACCTTTGATTATTATTTCAAAGTTAAAATTCGGCCCAGAACTCTTGTTTTTCTATAATTATAATTGATCCCTTTCAATTTATTTAAAGGGTTGTTAAAAAAAATCAAATGGGTGGTCAAACATGGTCAAAAATTGGTTAATCTTATGGTGAAGTTAGTTGAAAAAATATTATTTTTATTTTATTACTTTTTTAAATATTTAGGTTTCTGAGGGTAGTCAAAAAAATTTTCAAATTTCGGGGGGCCAGATTCACAGAGCTGAAGAAAACATCAATTTTTTAAATATATTTGGTATCTTTGTAACAATGTAGTTATTCTATAGGGTGAATAATTAAGACGGGAAATTTTATCAAAAATAGTTTTTCAATCCCAATTTTTTCTAAATGCTTAATTAAAAAGATAAATCAATATTTTCTTGTTAAAATAAACACCATTATTAATTGTTTCGACGTAAATAAGATTGAAAATTCCAAAGCGTTGTTATAGTCCATTACAAAATCACTGTGACTCTCAAATCAACAAGTAAGAAACAAGCGGGCGGGCGAGGCGATCCAGTTTTGATAATTTATATAGACAATCATTGACGCATAAATGTAATTGTTGATGGATTTTATTCAAATACACCGTAACGCACACGTGTTGTATTACCTCGAAATATCACACAGTTGTACCATTATTTATTAGATCGGCAGGATCGTGTAGCGTTCCACTCATAGAAATAATATAGAAGACCAATATAAACATAACATTTAAGCAGAAATTGAAACCTACTGTGCATAAAAACGCGTCTCTGCGCCTGACATCGCAAAATAGTGTGTCTAGAAGCTTGCGCAATATGCATGACTTGTCCCTGTAGTGTTGCCAAATATATTAAACATACCTAACAGAAAAGAATTTTAAATTAATTAATTTAAACAGTTTATATCTACGAAATATCGCCACAAAATAACTTATACACATTTAAATAATCAACTAATAATATTTATGTGTAATTACATTCCCAAAAATATATACAAATACCGTATTAATGTCATTAATACCGTATTTTTAATGTTCAATAAGCGATTCACCTACAAATTCAATATTGACCTGGCAATAGCACTAAAATCCGGTGTTTCAAGGCTATATGACGCTGCCCTTACAGGACCGTTTGTAGTTTATTGTTTATGCCGCGTTTGAGAATCCACATCGGATGCATCTGAGATGTAGTAAGTAGTAAATCTTTGATCACGTGATTCAGTATACGTAAATGTAATGGGACAGATGTGTCCGATGTGGATAAAAAACGCTCGAGATGTAAAAAATGCATCCGATGTGGATTCTCAAACGCGGCATTAATTACACGATGAAAGTGGCATTTTATTTTTAGTTTTGTGTAGTATTTAGTCAAATCCTAGGTACAATAAAAGACATTTTTACATTGGCTAATGAAAATGTAATCAATGTATTAGGCAGCTGTTATATTTATTACAAGATTTATGTCTGCAAATCTAAACCTACCTAAGAATTATAATTATGTAAATAGAGAGCTGTATATTTATATACAGGCTGCCCAGCGACGGGGAGACATTATCGATATCGGTTTTAAGGCATTTTAAAACATAAACCCGATCTCAACAATCTTAGGAACTCTTCTGTCACTCGATATTTTAATCGGTACTTCCTCTTCGCTTTTTGGCTGGCACAACAATTATTTACATTTCTTCATTCCTTACCGCGTTCGAACCAGTAAGGTTAAAAGAAATTTAAAAAAAACCTACTTTAAAAATAAAGATGTTAATGATTTTCTTATGGATCTCATCTTCAGATCTTGACTTAATGTATATAAAACTGTTTCCTTTTCTAACAAAAATAATCCTAGAAATCGGGCAACGTGGTAAAGAATTATCGCTCAACATACATAAAAAAATATTTCAACGAATTGAGAATATCCTACCATTTTGAAGTATGTTAAAAAAAATTGTTAATAAAGTGAAAAGTAGGACATGAACATATATTATAAAGTATATAAAATGATAGATAAATCCAGTTTAGAAGGTATTATAAATAAACTGTGGAAATATCGAGAATCTCGATTTTGAATCGGAAAAATATTCTACGCAATTTAGTATGAAAGCTGATCAAAATGAAACACATGAACGACAAACTGTTATTGACAACTTTCTTCAAACGTTTTCTATTTTTCCGAAAACTAACTAGATAGTTCGAAAATCATTTCCTTCGTTAAAACGCCTCTTGTTCCGAAAAAGGTACACGCCTGCCAACATTCATCGTTCATTAAAAAAGTGGTAGATACAAAACGCTTCGTATTGTAAGGCCAAAATATATTTAGAAATCGAAATAGTCATATAAACAAAAAAATCATATGAGTGAGATAACTACCAAATTAATGATTTACAAGTTTATTCCTATTATTTATAAAATAGGTTTGCAATGTGCTGGTGTGGAATGTTATCATCGACTAAAAACTTTAAATCTTTGTATTAAATTGATCGAAAACAAACTATAAATTGGTTTAGGCTATATAGAATGTTTCTAGTAAGCAGCAACTAATTTTTATTATGGAACCGAAAGACCCTTTTAAAAAGGTCCAAAATTAAAATAAAATATGTACCTACCAAGTAAATGTAGTAGTATTTTTAAATTTTTTAATTTATATTGAAAATGGTAACATGAAAGGTTTTCTGTCTAACGACTCATAGTCTCGGCTGACAAAATGTAAAAAAATATCGAACATAATATTCCTGGGCCCTATTTTGCACTCCCCAGATTAAATTTAGTTGTAGCAAATTATATTATCAAATAAGATGTCAAATCACAAGCAAAATCTCGTGACTACAGTACTAATGATTGCCTGTTTGGAAAAGTATCTTTGTTTGTAAATATTTATATGCATAGTTATATTTAAATGCGCGAGTGTAATGTTAAGTATAAACAAAATCCGCCCATTATGTATATACGTTTAGTTACCGACCCTAGTAGATAGGCAATTTGTTATTGTTTTAAGTTTTACCGTAGGGAGAGAGAAAATCAATATTAGGATAAATGGTCCAGCTCCTTTCTGGTTACGTAGGTACCTAAAAAGTATTTTAGTTTTTGGTTAAGTAATTAATTATTGTAACAGTGATTTTCTTGTGATAGTACCTAATTTAGATTGTGGATCAAAGTTTTTGTATATAATTTCGCTGTTTAATAATAAACGTAGTCAAAACCGGAGCACGTGGTTTTTCTGGAAAGTATTTTTAAAATCACAAGCAAAATCTCATGACTACTGTACTAATGATTGCCGAAAATTAACTAATTCATATTTTATGCCATTTCTTTCTTAATAAGGACTGTCAGAACCATATTTACCTTAACTTGAAATTTTTTTAATCGTTTTTTGTATATAATCATCTCTAAAAATGTATGATTGAAATATCGTGCGAACTATTTGTTCGATCAATAAAAAACTTGCACCGGTCCTGTTCGCGCCAGCACCGTTATACGCATGAGCTCCGACACACTATTTTCTCCTTATGGTTTCATTTTTGATATATGGAATCGGCTTTCTATACTATTTCTATGGTTCCACTGGTGGAGAGTTCAGTGATCATGACCTACTTTAGAAACAAAATTTGTGGATCGCTCATTATGTTCCTGCGCCAGTCAATCGTATTTCCAAAACAATGTTATAAATATATAATTTACCTCTTCCAGAGATCCTATCAGCTCGTCCTTTTGCTTATCTGGACGCGTCATTTGGAAATCGGAAAACAGATTTGTTCCAGAATCAGATTTTGCGACAGACGTTTTTGACGGATCTTCGCCACTGTGCCGTTTAGTGTGTATCGTGCCTTTTTCAATGCCTTCAAAATAGAAACCAAATTGAAAATGTATCCCCTTTACATATAATAATAAAAAAAACTTACTTAAATCGTTTCGGCTACTAGAATCAGTCTGACCTGCAACGCCGTTGGTACCGTCGGAATGACTGGAAGTTTTTCTCATGACAGTTAATCTATAGAAAGGTGGAGTTTCCGTCCTTTCAATTAGACAGTTCAACGTTTCTACTGTTTGTAATTCCACCATCATTTCGTCAAGTAATCGTACAGATTGCACCCTTGCTAAGTACAGTACCACCCTTTTGGCCTAAAATAATTATTTATAATGTATATTTTATGTTACTTTTCCTTAAAAAAAACTCACAAAAGGTAGAAGCTCGCATGGCGCCATTCCTGATACTATTATCAGATATCTGATGATTACTTTCATATTATTCGGCCATGATGTACAAAGTGTTGCCCAAACTTCTTCAATTTCTTTTGAATGATTGTCACCAAACTAAAAATTAATATTATAAACACGCAAAAGTTTATAAAGAAACACATTGTATGATTTTTTTACCTTTGCTGTAATGTAAAAAATATTGTTTAAAACCATTTCAGTAGCTTCGGCAGATCCCCAGCCTTCCTTTCGTTCAGAACCCATTTCATTGGCGTAAAACTAAATTTGAAAGTAAAATAAACGATTTAAATGTCCAAACCTTGCACAAATAGTGACTCACCTGATATATATTGTGCGTATTATTGATGTGAGGAATATTTGGGTCTACTAACTCCATATTATGTAACCAAGGTAATAAATATTGCAGTAATAATTGTCTAACTTCAGGTCTTGCAGTTTGAAATCTGTATGTTATTTCTAAAAAACAACATAATAAGGTTTATTCTCCTGATGTAAAAAAAGTATTGGTAATTTTAAATAATATGGAAATTACCAGAAAACATCGGCATGGTAAGTTCGGGATGAAGTAACGACAATTGACGAGATAGGTGGATTTGAGATCTACAGTAAGTTGTGGCTAGGATGGCATCTAACGTACTTCTTCCTTTGTCCCCTTCAGCTGAAATAATTCAAATTAAAACAATTTAATCCTGATACTATTATAAATTTTAAAAAATAACAAATATTTTTTAATTAGGCAGAGAAGTAACAAATCTCGATGACCCTTCATCTTCATCTATCTGAATTAAGGTATAATTCAAAGCCCACTCATACTGTAACTTTAAGCTTATAGCGCCCCTTTCACTTTCTACCCCATCAAGTTAATAATCTTAATGTATTCAACCATATATCTGAAGTTCGCTTTCACGATTTCTTCACCTTCGGATTTTTTACCCCAAAGTACAATTCCCGTTCGCATTTACATAGGACAGTAATTGGTCACATCCAGCCTATCTCCATTTTTGTAGATCGGCGTTACGACGGCAGATTTAAACGTATCTGGACACCGCCCAGCTAGCACATGACGTTGCCAAGACTTTTGGCGATGTTGCATTAAGGGAACGTAATAACATTACTATACAACGTAAATGCAACGTTCATGAGAAGTTGAGAGAAATCAAAACTTCGCAAAACTTTTATTTGATATTTACCTAGTTAACCTTCCTGTTATGTTAACACAACGTAATAAAGTAATTTGCTAAAAAAGTATACACAAGAAGTACTGTGAACATCACAATCTGATTTGGAACGTTTATGTCAATTGTCACTTGTCAACTTTTCTTGTCATATGTCATGTTTGTTTTTTTTTAACTTTTGTTTATAATTATTTAAACATTTGAGTAGTAGAATTGGTAAGAATCCTCTATAAATAGGAAAACTATTTTCTGAACTATTTTCTTCGTTTTAGATTACAATGCCTGTTGTAAATTGTACCAAAATGTCCGGAAATATTTCGATCATGTTTTTGTAGAAGTTTTCAACATAAGGATCTGGAGCTGGTTTATAAAATTATAAAAAATGTCCGGGAATATCTGATAACTTTTTTAGAAGCTAGATAGAAGGACTTGGTTTATGAAATTATAAAATGAGGACCTCTTTTTTTGGAAGCTCGACAGAAGGACTTTGTTTATAAAATTATAAGCTAAGCACTTTTTTTAGAAATTTCACAAAGGTCCGGTTTTTGTGGAAAAGGTGGCAACCCTAATACAAAATGGTTTAACTATAATAAAAACAAATAATGGTAGATAAACATCGGTAAATGAGAAGATTAACATTTAACTAAATGTCCAGTTACATTTTACTTATAAATACTTATGGAAGAGATATACAAAACTAAGTTGCCACGTTACTGGCCTATCCAAGGATGTAAATGGTGGCAGTAATGCCTTTTTCCCTAGCTGGCTCTTAAAATTTAATGATTCGGAAAGTGAAGGGATTAATAATAGTATATCTAAGTGTGATTTGATATAATATCTCTTTTAGCTCATGCACAATTTAGCTTGTGGTTTATAATCCCCCACAAATGGTTATTAAAGCTGTTAATGTGTTGATGGTATTAATGATACGATACAATTTATTTTATGGTCCCCCTTTTAGTACTAGAAGGTGCACAGGTGAGTTTACATATTTAATTTATCTACTATAGTTTATATTTGTTTTAGGAATTAATCGAAACGAGCCACTACTTCCAAATCTGGAGAAATAGAAAAAGATAGTCCTTACTTGTGGCTGAGAAGTTATAAATCTTACTGCAATCAAACTGGTGATCGTTCAGGATGCGGTAATAACTGATGATGGCTCCTGGAGGCGCCAAAGCCTCAGTAAGGGGCTGCAAGTGAATCGCAGCTATATAAATTGATATTCCTATGCATGTCGCTAACATATGTGTTTTAGGTAATATTTCAGTTCAACAAAAGACCCACTAAGTTATTAGATAAATAATTATTCATTAGATAATTACAGTAAATGATAAATAAAGGTCTAAAATAAAATAACACTATTGGTATGTGCTTTTAGGGAAGCATGGAGAGGTCGAACTTATCACAGGCCCTTCTTTTACAAGAAACAAAATTCACAATATGTTATTCCACTTAAACGAAACTTTCCTTGTAAGAATTGCGATGATGGTTTGCTTAATGGTTAATTAAATCTGTAAATTCGAAAACTTAAACCCAGGTGGTTCAGAAAGAAGTTATTTTCATTAAACGGTCAGATATGAGAATACAAAAAAAGTATCATAAAAAGTGGTCAGTGGTCAATCCATGTCCAAATAAGATGTATTTAAATTGTCCTGGTTGTTGTATCTTCATGGAATTTTAATTAATTTAATGTATTTGAAAAAGAAGAGAATTGTCAACAGAATGACTTTAACATAACAAATCGAAAATTTTCATTAAGAAAAGTTGATTAGAATTGAATATTACATTCAAATATGCAATTACACCGATCTATCTGAAAAAACAGATTTTCTTATTTTTTATACACTCTACACATTGATTGTAAATATCTGAAAACGTTATAAATTACGTTAGCTACTATAAACATAATACGCTTTCCTTTTTTTTGTCGATGTTTGTGAAGAATTTAGCAAATTTCTTAATGAAAATTTTCGATTTTGTAAAAAAATAAACGTACTTTACTCTTGAGCAAAATTCATATTTTTTGACAAACCTCGTATACGGCTTGAAAAATTTGATATCTGATGACTGTATTTTAAGTTTTGGGTCATGCAGGACTTTTTATCAAGAATAACTTTTTTTCCTAAAATCAATTATAAAAATGTTTTCCATACGGTTCCAACTTAAGTAGACACACGTATACCTATATAGTCATTGTTGCAATCATCTATTATTCACAGATCTAGTTTTTTTTAGCATCATACAATTGCCATCTTGAAACGTACCTTATATAAATATACTTTTGTACAATCGTTCACTGTTTAAGTTTCGAGTGAACCTTTGCAATATTGATACCTTATTATACTATTAGGGGGCGTCCATTAATTACGTGAGGTATTTTTGAGGATTTTTTGACTTCCCCTCCCTCCCTGGCGAGATTTGGTAAGATTTTCCTTAACTCCCTCCCCCCCTTCCCTAATCTCACGTGAGATTTTTCAAAATGTGTTATTTTTTTTAAATATAAAAAATATTCATCTAGAATAGATGAAATGAGGGCGGGAAGTGAGGGCGGGAAGTAGAGGTGTGTAATGTGACACTTCACAACCTTCAATGACGTTAGTAATGACAACATTACATATATGGTTGTAAATAAACAATTATAAGATTTTTCCATATTTTATTCTAGAAATACTTTTACTATAATTTAACTTTACTTTCTTGCAATTTTACACAGTTTTCTACTACAAAAAAAATTACGTGAGATTTACGAAACCCCCCCCCCCCCCAAGTGAGATTTAGAAAGATTTAGTTTTATCCCCTCCCCCCTTGAACACCTCACGTAATTAATGGACGCCCCCTTAAGCAAATTATGTCCAATCGTTCAGTACTTTATAGGTGGCTTCTACTATCGCACATCTGTAATTGCGTTTGTGATATATCTACCTCTACTTTTGTGATATTACTACTTGATTTCAAGAACATTTTAATAATAAATTTATATAAATATTTTTTCTACGATCGTGCAAAAAGTGACTATTTTTTACTCTATGTACTGTGCCAAAAGTTTAATTTTTTGCACTAGTGCAAAAAGTAGCTTACTTTTGTGCACTAGTGCAAAAAGTAGCTTACTTTTGTGCACTAGTGCAAAAAAGTAACTTATTTTTGTATACTCCTCCATATTTAGTGGAAAAAGCTAATGAAGCAACGGCAGATTTACTACCCAATAAATCAAAAAAAATTTATGAAGTATGTTATAAACGGTTCACAGAATGGTGTGAGACTAAATCTGTTGTAAATATTACAGAAAACGTAGTACTTGCATATTTAAAAGAAAAGTCGGAAATACTGAAGTCATCAACTTTGTGGTCAGAGTACTCAATGCTAAAGGCTACACTTTTAATAAACAATAATGTGGAAATTCGAAATTTTCAAAAATTAATTCCTTTTTTAAAGAAGAAGTCGGTAGGGTATCGCCCCAAAAAGTCCAAAGTTTTTTCAAGAGAGCAACTTGATAAGTTTTTAGTTGAAGCTCCCGACAGTAAATATTTAATGATGAAGGTAAAATATAAAAATAATCTTTTTTTAACTTTATACGTAGGTATTTGTTTCTTGTAGATAGTTGCAGTATTTGGGATTGCAGGAGCATGCTGCAGGGATGAGTTACAGAAACTTACTTTAAATGATATAAATAACATGAATTCTATCATAACAGTAAAAATTCCCGACAGCAAGACCAACAAACCTCGATCATTTGTAATAAGCGGACAAATTAGATCCTTTAATTTTGTGGAAATGTATCGCAAATATGCATCCCTCCGTCCCCAATCAACAAGCCACAATAGATTTTTTATTAGATACTATGACGGAAAATGTTCCGTTCAACCTGTTGGTGTAAACACTTTTGGCAAAATCCCAAGTGATATTGCCAAATATTTAAATATTGAAAAACCAATGGAATACACGGGACACCGCTTTCGCAGATCTTCTGCAACCTTACTAGTAGAATCCGGCGCAGATATATTAACTTTGAAACGGCACGGAGGGTGGAAATCCTCAACTGTAGCTGAGGGCTACATTGAGGAGTCTATTTCTAAAAAAAACAGAAATAGCTGCTCAAATTCTTAAAGGTCAACCAAGTACCAGCACCGGAAGCTTCACAATACGAAAAAGAGGTGTTTCAAATGAAGAGCCAGTCAAAAATGAAACCAAAATTCAAAAAATTCAAAATATTGCTGGAAATGAAGTTTTTCCGTCACTAAACATAGTAAACTGCAATAACTGCGACATTAAAATTGAAATAAACTGAAAAAAGTAAAATAAGAGATTTTTGTTGTACCTTTTGTAAAATATTCTAATAAAATTTGATATAAGAGTATATTTTATTTCGATCGTAGAAAAAATATTGTGTGCAACACGTGCAAAAAGCATATTTGTTGCACTCAGCATGATTGTAGCTTTCGACTTCGTCTCAAGCTGCAAACTTCATGCTTCGTGCAACAAA